TATATATATACAATAATGGCAAAGTAACTGTCATTGCGATTGTCGTCTTTGACACAAACAGCAACGCTAATCAACTGGATCGAGAGGGAGCTGAAGATAAGCAAATTCACCTCTATATATATATTGACAACTGAATAAAGCTCTTTGTGCTGACTAACTGAATAAAGTTGGAACTTTCACCTCTGTGTTCAGAATTTTTATTCAAGTTAGACACTGGAGTTTCTGCATGATCTTCATCAAATTCCAATCCGCTGGCCCTTTGAAAGTTCTGCAAGAAACAACCAGTCTGCATCAACCATATATCGTATTCTAACACTCGTCTCCTGTTCAACCATGCAATGCAAAACTGGCAATCATGGTCTTGTTTGTGTTCTGGTGTTTCCATGTCACTAAAAACCTGTTCATGAACAAACACGATTGGCTAGGATGTATATTTACGCTTGAAGGACTGACACATCGTACTTTGTATCTTAAATCATATGGAGGTTTAACTTCTCCCTCTGAACTAAACTTGTTGTCTTCCTCTGAGATGCTTTCTAATGTTGAGTCACTGATAAGATTAAGCTTCCTTGCTTCAGTTAGAACAGCCATAGAAGATCTTGCATGTCAAATAGGTACACTAGAAACCTCGGGGAGAAACTGATCAGATTATGATTTTGCATCGATGACTATCTGATGTTTCTCGCTAGGGAGCATAAAATGTTCTTCCTCAAGTGAGTATTTGCAACATCACTCTTCTGTCCTGGATGATTGAGGTGACTCCACAAACAATATATATATATATATATATATATATATATATATATATATATAGATTGTGTCAGAGAATACATCCTTCTCATTCATTTATTATACGAGAGGTAACTTTATATCTACCTATCTAGTAAATATATACGGGGAATATCTTGATATATATTGTATCTTGTATTTGTTTGTAAATCATGGACGTGTAAGCTTTTATACTTTTCAAACGTGGTAAGAAATATATAAACGTGGCAACCATTTCTAGATTGTGTCGTTGAATCCATCCTTCCCATTCACACAGTAACATCACACTAGATGCATTCATTACACGAGAGGTAACTTTATATCTATCTATCTAGTAAATATATATATGGGGAATATATTAGCAACCAAAAGTCTCAAGTGATTATTGATATCTTAATATATATTTTATCTCGTGTTTGTTTGTAAATCATGGACGTTTAAGCTTTTATACTTTTCAAACGTGATAAGAAATGTATAAACGTGGCAACCATTTCTTGGATCTTTGAGAACTTATAAGTTATCCATGGTATGTTTGATTAATTTGACTTATTAGAGGGGACATGCCAATCTTATTTTACATTCAATTTGCAGTCATTTCTGTACATTTGTTTGGTACTTGTTAGTCTTTCACCTTTTCCTTGCCTTCTTTTATTCTCCATTTTCTATCCCTCTTCCTCTTCCGTTTCCTTTTTTTGTAGTCATAGTCATACTTGTGCTTGTTTGACGTATATGATGGAATAAAATGAGTTTGTAATGCTATAGTGGAGAAGAATCCGATTCGTTGTTGCTTAGAATCTGATTCGTCTTCTAATACTTTACGGGCGGTGTTGGCATTCGGAACATGGTTCAAAAGATCCAGCATCATGAGTACATGGGTTTCGAGAATCTCTGCAGCATAGCATGATGCTCTGATGAGTTAACTGGTCTATTAACTTCGTTTAGTCTAAATCATTTATCAAAATATTTAAACTGAAATTAATAATAATACATAATTTATCGATGCTTGCATTTAATAAAGCTCTTGAAAATACACTATTTTGTGGGATGTTTTTGGATGTCCTCTTCAGTAAGATGGTGAGCAACAGTCACTAATTGGAAGATGTCTTTTGTGCTGTAACAAAGTAGCCATTAGATTCTCAACTCACACCTGTTGTTGTCATTTTCTTTGGAATCTGACCATCTACCCATTCCTGCTTGCTTATTGCTACTTCCTATGAATTTGGTTCCAATCTCATATGTTCAAAGTTGCACATACCATTTACAAGTGTCACTTGGAAAGATTCTTGCAAGGGACAGATAAACTGTGTGACATGTTGTTGATCCATTTCAGATTGAAATACAATGGGTACTGCTGCACTTTTTTCATATGGATTGGCACCAACAATAGCAGCTGCTGCTCCTCTTATCAAGCATTTCAAGGATTCATGTTTTCATAAACATCTTAGATCTTGCCTCTCACTTTTGCAATTTTGATTGTTATCTCAGCTAAAGTTAAAGTAAAATAACTTAGTCAAAAGTTAAAGGTAGAATGAAACCATTGGACGACTTAGTCGAATAAGAAGTTCTCGATTGATTGTTACGAGACTTACAGTGAGAGTATATCTACCAATAATCGATTTGATTAGTATTTATTTTTTACGACTAAAAATTAATTTATAAGGATCTCTTATATAAGATTCGAAATGAGCACATACATAAAAAGATTAAATACATTAATAAGAGAATAATATATCTCATATTACAAATTGGACTACTACAAAATAAAATGGTCAACACATTCCTTAATAATATATCTCATATTACCCTTTTCTACAGCATTTTATAAATATCAAAACAAATTAATGGCGCCGACCATTCACGTATTGAAATTGACCGGATCCTCTCCAAGTCGGGAAGAATACCATCTGCTCCCACTGATAATCTCATTAGCACCCCGTGCAGAACATGTGATACCATCTTGCTGAGATGGACGGATGGGATGGATGACTGAGTTGGATGGAGGGTGCAGATGTAGCATTAGAGGTGCACTTGCATCGATGCAATTTGTAGAGGATCCCACCACCGCAAAAAGCGGAAACCTCGGGCGGTTATAATGTAGCTTTCTTTTGTTGCTTTCCCCTGTTTTTTAGAGATCTGTTCTTCTTCTTCTTCTCTCCACAGTGGAAGGCGAAGGCGTCAATCACGATCTCCTCATCGTTCTTCTTCGATCTACGCGCGATCACTGTTGCGTTAGCTCCGCCCGCCTCTTCTGTCTCCCCTTGCATGTCTTCCGTCTCCACGTCTCTTCGGCACATCGTGCCGGAGAACTCATCCACCAGAGCGATCGCGGCATTTCGCCGAGTTCCATGTTGCGTTGACGGGCGGAAGCTCGCGTCTCGTAACGCCCGTCGTTGGGCGCCGGGATTAAGAGCGGACGAGAAGCGGTGGGGAAACGTGAAGGCTGTGACGAGTCCGGACTGCGACGGTAGGTTTTGATCTTTTCCTCTGTTTCGTTCATTCGTCGGAGAGGTCTTGATCTGAAGTTGAGCTTGAGATTCCCTCAAATAGATTCCTTTGAGATCATGTTTGATGAAGTTGAGCTGTGACTCCTTTACCAAAAAGATTCATGCCTTTTCTGATCGAAGAGTTGACTCAGATATTGGTGATCGGAATTTATTGAATTTTGATTCTTATTTTAATTTGAAGAGATTCGATGAATGTATTTTCACGTCAAATTAGTGTTATTTGTTGGTTAGTTCTCTCTCTCTCTTTTTATGTTGCCTTTAATTTGAGACTCAACGGAGTCATCATGACAAGGAAACATAGGGCTGATAGTAAATGTCTCTCGACGGACTAATCTAAGTGTTTGCTGATCAGGTCCTACGACTGCTACCGGCAGATCCAATGTTCCTATCTTGTCTGGTTCTGAGGTAAGGTTATTCCCTTCTTGTGCATCATTATCGTGTTATTATTATACAGCTACAACCGATCACTGTCAGAGATCATGGAATAATCATGTGAAAGTTGAGCTTCTTGAGTAGTATTTTAGTGTCATGTTGCTTCCTAATAAAATCATTTCTAAGTGACTCCAACCCTCTAACTAGAATAATATTCAGTGTTGCAGAAAGGTTTAATCTAATGACAAAGGGGGGCATATGGTGATGGAATTCCTTGTTTTTGCCTTGCTTCAATCCTTGATTTATTCTTTTCTTTTTCGAATGCTTCTTGAAACTATAATTTGCATCACTGACCGCTTGTTTGGTGCCTAAGAGCAAGCGTTGTTCATCAGTTGAGGTTACTGGTTGGAATGACATTATTGGAGGGGAATATATGGATGAATTGATTGCAATTTCAACAGGATTCAGAAATTTCAGTCGATCTCTATCTGATTGCTCCAAGTATCTGCTTCTGCATTCTTCTGACAGAGTAGTAATTCACAGAGCCGAGAGTCTTGGAAGTTGTAATTGGCTCACATCAGATGTGGATATTTCAATTTTGTACTCATACATGAGATTGCACTCTTTATTATATTTTCTTTCTCCTACTGCAGCATATCCACATGACAAGTTGCGTTGGGGTAGTCATTGTTCTAATTAGTGTTTGTTTGGAGAATTCCTAGGTTGTAGAAAGGCTTAAAGCGTTCCATGAAAACAGAACTGGAGAGCAAAATTACTTGGCCATGTACTCCAGCATTTTTGGTGGAATTACCACAGATTCTGCAGCAATGGTGATTCCCATGGATGATCACATGGTCCACAGAGGGCATGGTGTTTTTGATACTGCTGCTATAATGGACGGGTAAGAACCAAGCATTCTGGCATGCTTTTGTGAATATCTAAGATGTAGACATGGTTTATGTTATCGTTGAGCTGAAAATTTAAGTAGCTTTGCAACTGGGATTACTCATCTAGAACTTAGCTTGCTTTTTCTTGTTGTATAGCATAATTCAAAGAAGTTGCAGGATGAGGGTGATTAGTTTTCCATCCATTATTTTCAGATCCATTTGCTGTGCCTATCCTTTTACAATCATGTATTGCCATTACAATCTAACAGTAGCTCCTAGCAAGAAAGAAATAGACACATGAACATTTTGTTTTCCTTCGGAAATCATGGTTCTTATGATTTATATGATTGTATGTTTAAAATTATAATATAATAAACAGAAATCATACTGTCTTCAAGAACAATTCTTACATCACACATGACTAATACTTTGTATGTTTCTCCAACTCAGGCACCTATATGAGCTAGATCAGCATCTGGATCGTTTCTTGTGGTCTGCATCAATGGCAAAAATCCAGCTCCCTTTCGATCGATCAACTATAAGGAGTATCCTTATACAAACTGTAAGTGCCTCAAAATGTATGCAAGGGTCACTAAGGTACTGGCTCTCTCCAGGACCTGGAGATTTCTTACTATCTCCATCTGGATGTCCAAATCCTGCTCTCTATACCATTGTGATTGAAGGCTCATCCTTACCAGTCTGTAGTGGTGTTAAAGTAATAACATCTTCCATCCCAATGAAATCTCAACAATTTGCGGTGATGAAGAATGTTAATTACCTGCCAAATGCGCTCTCCAAAATGGAAGCTGAAGAAAATGGAGCATTTGCAGCAATTTGGTTGGATGATGAAGGGTTTGTTGCCGAGGGCCCCAACATGAATGTCGCTTTTGTTACTGCAGACAAAGAGCTACTCATGCCTTATTTCAACAAAGTTCTCAGTGGATGCACAGCAAAACGAGTGCTAAGCCTCGCAGAAGAACTCGTAGCGGATGGGAGACTTAGTGGAATCAAGTTGAGGAATATAACAGTTCGGGAGGGGAAGACAGCAGAGGAGATGATGCTCATCGGAAGTGGAATCGTTGTGAAGCCTGTTCTGCAATGGGATGATCACGTCATCGGTGCTGGTAAGTTGAATTATGCCTCTTTATATTTGTCTGATAAGACCCTTCTCTTCTTCTTGTTTAGAAGTTAATCGATAATTATCATCTAAATCTATAAACAGATGCATGTTTACTCCAGATTATATATTTGCATGCAAAAATTCTTGCTGCATTTGTTTCTTTTGTATCTATAGATAACTAGGGTCGATTTTAGTTCTCTATAAAGGAAATAACTTTTTCTTCCACATCACACTTCCGTCTCCTCTCTTCCTATTATATCTTTCTTTCTTTCCTTTTCTTATTTATGATTACGGTAAATCTTAGCTACAGTAGTTTATTCAAAGATCGTTATGTGAAGCTTCAAATGACCATTTTTGTTCTCGTAGGCGAGGAAGGTCCTGTTGCACAAGCTCTGTTTGAATTGATTTTGGATGACATGAAACATGGTCCGCCTTCTGTAAGAACATCTGTTCCGTACTGACACAAAAAATGTCACAGCATGAGATAAATTGGAAGTGTAGCACATGCGAAGCATCACCGGCTCTGTCGGACTGCCTCAATCACATTTGGTCGCACACAACCAACGCTCATACCGAAAGAGATGCTGTTGTGACAATTTGATATCCCCCCTCGGATTAAGAGGTGCCGCTTGAATGGTGCAATTGGCATGGTTTTCTTGCGCCATTGGCGTGCATGATTAGAAGAAAGTCGAACTGTGTTACCTTCGATTGTACTATTTACTTGGCATATAATTCTGTTCTTACCCAAGCATGCATGGGAGTTTCTTCAAGTAAACGTTCAAAGTCTTTCCCTGACGATGACATAATGGTGTAGTTGAAGAAACACTACTGAAATCAGTAAGCTGCAGAAACTCTAACCATTTGCCAGTAATCTCTTTGTAAAAGCTACCAGTCAAACATGATTTTGTATTTGAAACCCATTGGATTTGTTTCTATCCACCACTCCTCGATCAATGTGCCCTTCGCCTTTTCATTCTAGACTCGACCTGCCGATAACCCCTTGTCTGAGCCATATTTAATTCAACATCTCGGCCATGACCCAAAAAACCACCCCTCAATTGCCGATCCACCAGAGGCGGGCGGCTCCTCTCCCTTGAAATCGGGCGTCTTCGATTATCTCGATTACCATCACTCCCATCCCATTCAAGTGCTGCCGGTCGATCAAGTTGGTGTCTTCTCCGATACTCGAGCTCATCATGATAGTCTTCTCTCTCCCTACGCTTGGAACCTGCAAATTTTGCTCCACACGCTGGAGGTGGCATTCTTGGATCCTCAACACCCCAACCATGATGTGGTAGTGATCCGTATCTGTGGGAGTCATGACGGGGAACACAGCCGGTTGGATCCAATGTTCTCGGTGGAGACCCACCACGAAAGGAGGCCTCCCAAGAAGGATGGCTGGGTGCAGGGAGTTGAGGTCCATAGCGGTGCTTGTTGCAGTTGTTACGATGCGTCCGTCGAGCAAAATTCAGATTCCCACAACTAACAAATCATGGAATGTTACTAAGAGCTGATAAAACATCAGAAGCAAAATAAATGACAATAACCGAAGGCATCACACGACATTAAATTTGATTCCATCGGCGGGAGAAAACTTACTAGGGGGCATGATAGACCCAGTCACCTTCTTGAGGGGTCAAGTTGGGATCATTTCCGTGAATATATCCTCCTTCAGAGACAGACCCTCTACATGCAGTGTAAACTTCTCGAGACCTACCATCTGCCCTGCCACCTTGTGAACCTCGGCCAAACCTCTGCCTCGTTGAACTGTACAAATCTGGATCATGCTGACTATCCAGTCTCTGTCGTCGAGGGGAAGAGGCAGAACCTGCACGAACAATATCATGATTTATAGTAAGTAGTATGGTGGCTATAATGTAATCATGTCTTTGCAGGTCAATCATGAAATTATGTAAACAAATGAATCACTTGGCAGCACAACAATAGAAGACGTCGGAGGTAGATTGATTCCACATATCAATAAGTATCTGTATCAAACTTTGCCATTATCCACAATTACATTTCAGACATCATAGAACACCGATGAGTGGGCTTCCTGCAGTGGCTTCAGTGGAATTCAAGTGCCAAATACCACAATTCAAGCGAGTATCTGCTTACATGCTGCCAAGGGCAGCATTATAAATCAAATCGTGAGCACAGTAGGTTGACAATGGAACTAATCAAGCTGCATTAGTGATTCTTTCACTTGGATGAGTAGACCCCAAAGTACTATGTTTTCTTGGTCGAAAATACTACTCTGAAAAACACTTTAGCTTCTCCAAGAAACTTGAAGGAGTGTGACTACAATCACCATCCAAGCATCAAGCATAAAGTCTCTCAAATCGGACTAACTTACACCTCTTCAGGAAGAATCCTCTTTTAGTAGACAGTGCAATCACAAGCATACCGATCCAACCGATGATGAACTACTACATGGTATTCCTCTATACAATTCTCTACCAATTTTTCTTGCAACAGAACCTTTGTACGCTTAAAGACTGGACGATGCTCTGCGTAAAGTGTCAGCAGAACATGGCTCTGCACCCCCATTTTGCAACAATCATTTTCAAGTAGAGAAGTAGTGCTAGTTCTCATTTGTTCTTTCCGATACAATAAATTTCGAAAAATCAGTGGCCATAAAAGATGTCACAACAGATTGCCTACCTGCCAAGCACAAAACCTTTGTTTGCTTCAGCTAGCAAATTTTCATGCATTTAGATTATTTCCCTGTAGGATCAACACACTGACTCCATATGATATACTAATCATAAATGAACATAAAATGCTTGAAATCTTCATCAAATGAAACCAAAAAAAAGATCTGCTGAACTTGTATGTGATAAAAAATAGATCACCACTTCTTTTGTAGAAAAATGAGCAAAAGGATGTGGCACACCAAAGTTCAGACGAGAAACAAAAAAGCATGTCAGAAGTCATCCTGACTGCTCCAATAAGATTAAATTCCAGTTAGTACGATCTAACAAAGAAAAAACCTGTCAAGGTCTTGCACTATAAAGCCAGCCACAATGACTTTTACTCGGATTTGAAAACCAATGACCAGAGCAAATAAATATGTCAATATATTTGCCAATCCGTAACCTGTGATTGTAGGTGAACAATTAGCCTTATTGGATTCCATCGATAAAGATATCTAACCAGGCTGCCCTTATCCAAAATTTCATGGTTAACCTACAACATCATCATCACCACAATGCTTTCAGGACATGATTTTGCAGGACTTAATAACACAAGCTTGCCTGCATACCAATCATCTGCATGTCATAGAAATTCATTCTCAATTTGGAAAAACATGGAGCTTGAACTAATTGGCTATTATATTAAACATGCAAGCTAGAAGACGTATACCAACAGTGTTACAATTTTATACAAATCACATAATCTTGGACATTCACAACACTCAAATCTACAAAAGGAAAACTTAGCTATTCAAACACAAGGGGAAACCATTTCAAAGCGAAATTGACAGATAATTAGTACATGAAGAACAGAGTGATTTCAACAGTTACTGCATGAAGCTGGAACAAGACAATTGTTTTCTATTGATTAAAATGCATTAAAACACATTGGAATAATCAGAAAATACTAACCAAGAAATATATCAGAAAATTCTAACCAAGAAATATAGACTCCCTTAAGAAGCACATTAGCATGCAACACATTAGGTGCAATTACTAAAACCAAAAATAGTTTCAACAAATTTTCTCTCTTTACTTTGTGCATCAGTGTTTTCCAGACAACAGGACATGCTGAGCGACAACATCACTTTTGCACCGGCTACTTGATGGTCCACTGGCTTGTAGGTTCAGATTTGGGTCAGCACTAAACCTAAAGATCGTGTTCATTTCTCTAATCAACATTGTTTAGACGTTGCTTTCAACTAATGTATCCATGTGGCTACCAAACATCAGGTAGAATATAACATCATAAGCAAAAAATGAGCAATAGAACCACATTACGTTGTACAATAATAACAATGTCTTCTGAAAAGTGCAATGAAGAGAGAAATATTTTTTTTTCCAAATCGTATAAGAACTATAAAATCAGAAGAACAAAAACCATGAAAACGATGAGCAGTTGTGTATTCTCAAGGGCTCTGCTCACATTTTACACAATCCGCTAATTATTACGATGCAGATTAAAGAAAAGAACAGAAGGAACACGAAAGATATAATCTAAAAGGGTTAATTATAAGATTAAAAAGTTACTACTTTTTAATCGAGGTTCCTACATCCTAACAAAATGAATGAAGAACAACGGAAATAGAAGCACAGGAATTCTGATAATAGGAACTAAAAGCATGAAAAAATATCTCCATGACCAGATTGAAACCCTAATTTCTCAACCAATTAAACCATCAAATGGCACAAAAATACACTATGGATGGAAGTAAGAGATTGCATCAGCGTTTCGTAACTGAATCTTCATCTGCTGTTTAAATAAGATGAAAAAAGCATATGGAAACGGATGGTAAACTCATTGTTCTCATAATTATGGGGTTTCGGAGGCAAGAAAAACGATTAAAACCTGGACGCTCGTGGAACCGCTGGTGGCGGGAGTGGAACACCGTAGACCCGCCACGACGGCGGGTTGGCGGCGGCGACCCGCGCCGGCGCCGGTCCTGCCGACCGCCGCGGCGCGGGGCAGGAGGCGGCGGCGGATGGTGCTGGCGGAACCGAAGAGAATCGCTGATGCGGGCTTCGGAGGCGGTGTCCCGGCGCTCCTCGTCGTCCTGGCTGCTGGGGCCCGCTCCGGTCCGTCTCGGGGACGGAGCAGGCGAGGGTTCCTGCGGCGGCGTCTCCTCGTCTTCGTCTCGCTCGCGGGATCTCATCGATCGCTGACTCGTCTCGCTTCCCATCACGTCGCCTTCAACTACGGCAGGCAGATCGGAATACGTCGGAGCGCTCGCTGTGATTTGGTGGGGTTGTCGAACAAATCCGCCCTTAAAACAGAGCACGAATGCCATGGAAAAGAGCGCGCGCGCGCCGTTTCCATTTACACAAATGTCTTCATGCCATTATTAAACATATTTTATTACTATTTTCATGATAAATAATCACCAATAGTATATGATTTTTTTAATAATATATATATACATATATTTCAGATTAAGTATGCAAATTTTGCCATCTTTTATTTTGGAATATATTATTAGAAGCTTCATAATTTTCATCCAAAATCATTCAAATTCCTATATAAATAAATTATATATATATACATATACATATATTATAATGGTAGCTATGGTCAGTGGTGATTTGAATTATAATTATGTTTCTAATATAATTACAATGTTTCTGTTCACTGAACCAATTTAAAGGAGGATGCTTTATGTATTATTGATTTTAATTAGCTCATATGTGTTACTATTTTTATAACCTATTAGCCAATTTTATAAATTTACCTTTTATTGTTAATTTTGATGTTATAAATGTGTGTGATCATGAAACACGTTGCTGCCTAATTATCCTTCCAACTCAACTCAAAAAATAATTTATCCCTTTCTTTTTAGGATTTTTTTTGGGTATATTGATGAATATCGCTCGAAGAATTTCAAGCGTACAAAATTTTATGTTTAATATACCTTTTTCTTTCGAAAAATATATGATACTTAATTGTGAAAGTGTTATTAGAGTATGTACGTATCATTTGTAATATCGTACCACTCGATATGAGTGATATGTACCAATCCGATAGAATATCATGTGATATATTGGTATATCTTAATATATCATATATTGGTATAAATCGGTATGTCTTGTACCTTGCTAATCGATATATCACTAAGATACGATATTCAAAATCTTACTTTTACGATATATAATTTATAAATATATATATTTATCATTACCGACCTCTCAATTTAGATGATTTCTCTTTATGTAGCAACCAAAACTATCTCACAGTAGACATACACAACATGATCCTCAACTAAAGTATCGTATCCACTCAAATGTTGATGAAATCAACATTAACCCAATAAACACATCAATAAAAAATTAATTACTTTATAGTTAGTCCTCGTTTATGATTATAAGTATATAATAGGACAAATCATATCACAAATAAATAAAAACTATAAAGGGAACATTTAAACTTTCATAAAATCATATATCTTTTTTTCGACATGTGTTTTATTAAAATCTTTATAGGAAATATTAGTGTCATCTCTTTATATACAAACTCATTTTTTATTTTATATTAAACATATAATTATTTATTATCATTTTATTCGAGACAAAATATCAAGTGTCAATATGAGACACAAGATTGGTATCTCCAATGGAAGTGTCATCTTTTGATCTTATATATCGAGAAATCATATAAAGCATGAGTATCAAAAATGTTTATTTCCTAATACTAATGGATGATTATTTTTATATATTTTTATAGTAATTAGTCAACATGATTTACTATGTATAATCAATTAGACATTTTATAAGTTTTAACTTTTATTATTGATTTTGATTTCTGTACAAGTATGTAATATGTATGCAAAGCATATGAGTGAATGTATTTTTTACATTTTATGCACAATTATCAAACCCATATCGGATCGAATCAAACCGATTCATTGAATTGGAAAATTTGTGATCGGGACCTCAATCTCATTCAATTCACTAATCAAATCAATTGGAGTGTAAAAAACACTAAAATATCCTTAAAACCCTTTGGACAATATTTTTTTACTTCAGAAAAAAAAAATCTTCACATTATTTTTATTTTAATTTATTTTTTGTAATATTTTTATTTTCATTTATTATAGAAAAATATTGTACATTAATATCTATTTCAAATGCAATTAAAAAATAAAAATAGAGATTCTAAACTAGTATTACTTACTGATTAGACCATTTGAACCTTAAAAAGGATTTGAATGCTCTTAGTATTTTATTAACTATCAAGGACATTTAAATTTTTAACCGTACATAAGTCTTTTTATAATGATAAAAGAAAAGACATTACTCAAAAGATGGCGGAATGATCGAAAAAATCCCATATGATGCTTAATCAAAGATGATATCGAGGATTAGAAATGGTTCGAGAGGTCGGGCTAAGCCAACATACTTAAAGCCCTTTTATAACTATCGACACTTTGTCACATGTTATTCCGTAAGATAATTTCATAGAATCATCGAAGATTACGGAATGTGGAGTAATCGAGTATTACCCCAATTATGGAGAGTTGCTCAAAATCTTGGGTGTTGTGGTTAGCATCATCGTATCGTACAACCTATTTAATCAATATGTCAAATTAGCTATCGTCTATATAGAGGTTTGAGCATTCAAATGTCAAATCTCTTATATCAAGTATCAGCCTCCTTTATGCTTCGAGACATACAAGGTGTTGGGAGATAATGTCTTTCCAAGATAACTCATTATGTAATAGAAGTGCTTCATGCCCTAGTTGGGCCACGTCAAGATCAGGGATGCTTCATTGTTAGATTTAGACGTGTTATGGGTTCAAAACTCTTAATGGGTTTAAGATGCTTCATAGCCAAATTCCATCACGAGATGCTTCATAATCGAATTTGGGATGCTCAAATGGCCAGATTCGATCACATCGAGGATTCAACATATGTCATGCGTCATGAATTCAAGATGTTTGATGATCAAATTTGATTGCATCAAATATTTGAGATGCTTCATGGTTAGATTTGTCCATGTTAAAAGATTCATGTTGTTTCCAATCACTAGTCATCGTAATCGCCTCTGATATGCTTCGATCATATCACTGCATCTAATTTGATTCGATTTTGATGATTTGATATCTGATACATAATCTTATGTGTCCAATCAACCAGTGTCCTCGAGCAAGGCAAGGATGAAGTGTGAAGGCCAAACGATGTTTGAGCCTGTTTGAACTTTGGAACCTTATTCTGAACCCACTTTTAGCTCGAGGCCTTGAAATTGTCTCTCTCATTCTTTCTCCTCGAGTTTGGACTATGACACGTCCGAGGGTGGATGTAAAACCTTCATTCATTTGCAACAGTGTCGTAGAATCTTCAGCTCAAGAGAGAGCTGTCTCGATGACGTTGCCCTAATGCACACCGGCCATGCAGCCTGACGATATATGTTCTCTCTTCAGCATCGCCTTCTCCAGCAAACTCTCCTTGCAAGGCCATGCAACGTGCCAATGATCTTCTTGGGAGACACTTCGACCTCGACTTCTCTCTCTCTCTCTCTCCTAACCCCGAAGATTCCTACTCTTCTATCAAGACGATGAACCGGTAGAGTGAGATGCTCAACACTGTGAGGAGTGGATCAAGGAGCATCAAATTTCCTCACTGAAATGCATGTACATGGAGTCTGAACTTTACCACCGGGATGGCACACACATCAGTCACCTTCTGAGTAGGTCAGGAAGGAAATGCCTGCCATCAAATGATGAAAACCCTAATGTTTTGGTGTATCTCCAAAGCGTTTGTGGCAGTAGCAAATGATCGACACTTGGCTAAAAATATACAGCAAGGTTTTTGAGGGTTAAACAAAGGAGAAGCACTCCTCCTTATTTGCACCATGCAACCTGGTTCTTAGCACACTGTGGTCTTCCTCCATCTTTAATGCATACTATCATGAGCAATCAGCCTTCAGTGTTTTGCAGAGTGATTGCTAATGATGATATGCACGTCGACTGCAGAGCCCTCAAGCATGCCGAGAACTCATGGTGGCCATCAGAAGGCTCCATGGAGAGTTGGAACCCAGTAATCTGCCCCGTTATCGCTTTCGACATCCAAGAAGAAGGAGACTGGAACGAGACAAAGTCCTCTACTCCTCAGGTCCTTCTTCGGTTCAACATTGCCTTCCTGATGGTAGGAACAAAAGCAGGGAAAGCAATCACTCTTTTGGAATCCATCATTTCTTCGTATACATGATTTGATTCTGTAAACGATGATTTGAGGTTAACTAAGCAAAGTAAGTACCTGGTCAGGTCGTCCTCTTTTCTTGCTGCCATTTCCATTTAGCAGCTGCCCAAGGAAGACACAAGCTTGGCATTAATGTCTTCCTTAATAGCTTCAGATAACAGATTATATAGGCAGGTTAAGATAACAAGAGTTTATTTACATGACCAGCTTCTTCTGCAAATATACGCCTCCTTTCTCCTTGTGCCTAGAAAACCATGCTTCACCGATCAGGCCGAACTCAGTGACAACAATTCAGACATACAAAATCTTTGTCATGTGATGAAAGCCTACGTGACAATATTAGGTTTTGTGTATCCATCAATATCTTGCTAAAGAGAGAAATGATATTATATCCTTTTAAGTGGTGTCATGGTTACTGTAGAGAACGAAGTACAATTTCCATGGAGCATTGCTAAGTGCATGTATTCAACATAAAAATGAGTCGTTAATCTATGCATGCATGGATCGAGAATCAGCACATAGATATCAGAAAGCTTATGTTCATGAATATATATATAGAGAGAGACAAAAGGAAGCAGCTTGTAAGAAGTTTCTCACACACAAACCGTGGGCTACAAGTGCTCACAGGTGTACGTGTGAGCACGTACACCTGTATAGGTGCGTGCTGGAATGCACGCACGTATAGGTGTACGTGTGCGTGTGAGAGAGAGAGATATATATATGAACGAATAGTAGCTTTGGGAAGAGGGCAGAGTGGGGTTGGGAGTTGCAGTCACTCACAGGCTGCTTCATGTTCCCTGATCCACTGCTCAAGTACGGTGAGCTCAGAGCCTACACGAAAGAAAGGAATGGTTGAGAGTGAGAAAGAGAACCGGAGAGAATAATCTCTCATGTATACGCTGGAACACATGGCATTTCAAGACACCCATAACTCAAAGATGCTGCACACTGACAATGCTTCTTCTGCCACCTACTTTAACTGCGTGCTCTCAAACCTCCCCCATCCTTTGTTTCACTTTTCTAGAGAGAGAGAGAGAGAGAGAGAGAGAGAGAGAGAGAGGGTAGACCTCAATTTGACTCTGGAGGAATCTGATGTAGCCGATGGCTTCTAGCAATACAGACGCAGTGTCAGTCTGAAAAAGGAGCTCATGTCAGGTATCCTTTACTTGAACACCAAAGAAAAAGAAATGGAAAATATGTGTAGCTTTGCAGCTCAAAGTACTGCGAGAGCTTTCACAAACAAGAACGCTGCGCATACGCCCCCATATGTAGATTCGAAACAGGCGGTATGAGATAATGGCGATACCTTCCCGAAAGGAGAAACAATCTGGTGAAGTGCAGTTATTCTGTCCCCTAACTTCTCCTTCCTCACCTGAAAACGAGCAAGAAAACATGTTTTTTACCTTAACATTTCCAATTATTTCTTACATACACAAAGAATTAATTGGAGAGTTTGCTTGCCCCATGTCAGTAGAAATGTAGTAGTACCTTGAAAGTAGAATGAGCTGAGGAGGTTCCCTGAACCCTAGCTTTCTTGAGAACTACACCAGCTTCTGTGCTGTTGCACTTGAAAGTGGAAAAAGAAGAAACAAGAACACGTTAGAAGCAGTATCTATCTATCTATCTATCTATCTATCTATCTATCTCTCTATCTATCTATCTATCTATCTATCTATCCATCCCAAAGAATTCTAACACTTAACACTTATATTGCTGCAGGACATTACCATGCAAAGCAAAGAATAACGAGTAAACGGAGATCGATTGCTTCTAATTACAACCGGCAATTATTATCTCGGATGGAGCATGAAGAAAGAGTAGCCAACATATCACCTCGGGTGAGTTATCTGGTTGGTGATGCATTCTCTCGGACTTGTTCGAGAAGTCCAGCATGTTCCTGCCGAAACTCGCCGCGTTGCAAGATCCAGGAGAGGAAGATGGGATAATTCGGCTCCATGGACTTGTAGATGCTTGGATCTCTTCACTGCCACCGCTGTGGAGGTAACAATTTCCGGAGATTTCTTGCTTTATATCAGACATATGAGGCGGGGTTGTTGATGGGTACACTAGCCGATCTTCCCAGTTCTTCATCTTTCCAATCTGGGGAGGTGTCAGCCCATACTTCTCCTCTTCTGCCCTGGAAGATTTCCAGCAAACCAAAGTAAGCAAGATCCAAGAGAATTTGAGGTAATCAGTGCTGGCAAGTGTTAGATGTGCATAAAATAGTAGAAGAACTGTAAGTCATGAGAGGGAAAGAAGACGAATTTTTTTGATACTCAACAAGCTCAGCTCATCATACAATTCGAAAAACCCTCTTGAGACTGAAAAGCTCTCTTTGTTTTTCTCCAAAAAGAAAGGAAATCATACAAGTTGAAGAACTGGAAATCATGAGAGGGAAAGAAGACGAATTTTTTTGATACTCAACAAGCTCAGCTCATCACACAATTCGAAAAACCCTCTTGAGACTGAAAAGCTCTCTTTGTTTTTCTCCAAAAAGAAAGGAAATCATATAATTATTAGAGAGAGAGAGAGAGAGAAAGAGAGAGAGAGAGAGAGAGAGAGAGAGAGAGAGAGAGTTTTACAGCAATAGCTGGCTCCATGATTCTGGTAGGTCTTGGCTACCATGAAAAGGGATCATTGGAAGTGTAGTGGAGGGTTGTGGGTACTGAGGGGAGACTGAAGGAGATGAAGAGGAAGAAGAGGAGGGTAGAAGAGGGAAGGTTTGCTCAGGAGGTGGCCTCATGCTGTTCAAGCTCCAACAGTTGGAGCTTCCTCCCACCATATGCTGCACCAGAGAGTTCTGAAACAACCCTCTATTCATGCCTGAATGCTTTGGGCGCACACTTGGTTCTCTACCAGGCTCTCTCCTTCTGCAACCTCTCCTTGCAACCCCAAGTCAACCCTTGGAAGCTTTGCTTCATTTGCTTCTATGGATGAGGTCTGGAGAAGAAAGCAAAGGCCCCTTATTAGGAGGAATCTAATCACCTGTGTACATGAGGGATGGAAGAAGAAGTGTCCTGTTTTGTTTTGCTTCCTTTTTCTCAATCCTTCTTTAGTATTTTTGCTCACCTTTTATTTCACCCTCCTTTCTTTTTCTTCCTTACTTTTGCTTTTATCATAAAGTGGGGCAAAAATTGGTGATGCAGAGAATTCAGACAAAAAAAAAAAAAGTGGCTTAAGGATGGGCCTTAGTACCTAAATTACCATTGGTTAGAGACACACAAGTGAATGTTGAACCTTTGTTACTTCACTCACCTAATGAGGTTGAGGTATTTTTGTGTGTAGAAGAAACTCTGATATTATTGTCTTTAAAGATATTCTTCCATCCCAAAAGGAAAAAGAAAATCAAAAGTATCAACCACCAATAGAATATAAAATTTAGAGAAAACTACATAATAATAATAATATATGAAAAAAAGAATTTTGCTAAATTAATTAAAAATCTAAACCCAAATCTCATGAATTTTGAAAATTTTACTCTCAGTCTCTCTAAAATCAAAATCCAACATTTTGAGCCTCTGATTTTGAATTCTCATCCATATCATGAAGAACATAGGAATTGTTTGGTAGCTAGTGAAGGGTACCAACAAAAGATGGATCCTGTGGATGGTAGTCCTGCTGTACTATAGTACTTCTTTCTAGCTATTATTACACTAACAAAGTGACCACATATACAAATAATGAGCAACTTATTTATTGTTTTACTATTATGAGCATCCCAAGGACCACCTTATCCTTAGCCTGATAAAATTTGAGATCATTTTGTTAATTTTTCTACAAAACTTTAGGAAGAAGGAGAAGATAATTGTATAAAAAATTAGGAGTGCTTTTGTAATGATTTAGATTGATCCAAAAGCACCTATTTATATTAACTAAAAGATATATTATAATTTTTTTAAAAAATAATAATAAAAAAATCTATCATATCCTAATAAATCTTTTCATCCTAGTCTATTTATTTAATCTTAACACATATTACATGGTAACTTAAATACATTATAACTATACATATAATGCCATGTATAGTTATAGACCAACATGATTGAATAATTGAGACCAGGGAATAAAAAATAACCTAATTTTCCCAGCCATGGTTGAAACTGCATCATTTTAACCATGGTTCAGAAGTGTATATGCATCCATTAGCAGCACTAGGCAATGAAACTAAGGAGAAGTAGAGGTAACAACTGATGCAATGATGATGAGGAGATGTTAGCATGTTGTTATTGAGATGGTTATGGTGATAATGTAAGTCACTACCACAGAACAAGAACATATTTCTCAGCTCCTTCTCATAAAAAGCCTTCACCTATTTTACCTTGATCACATAATCACAAGCAAGTGAAATTTTGAATCTATCCCCATTTTACTCCTCAGAATAGAGTTTAAGCAAGCATTGCATTATAATATTCCCAGCACCACCTGCAGTGTTGCAGTAGTCCAGCAAATTCCCTTGATTTGTGTATGCTTCCTATCATTCCCTTGGCTGCATAGAATAAGTCCTTAAATGCAGAGAGAGAGAGAGAGAGAGAGAGAGAGAGAGAGAGTAGTGGACTTTAAGGAGGAAAGACTAATGGTTTCTATACACAGTACCATATTCAGCATCTTTGTCCTCTCCATGAGGCACTTTTCAATTCACATACTCTTCCTTTTAGCTCTTACTTGGAAGCCGCACTCCTCTTGCTTGTCTTCATCTGCTCATGCCAATATTCCTTTCCTCTCTCTTGCTTTCTTCTGCTTCTTTTGGTGAGCAGCTGCAAGGGTTCCAATCACAGATTTTGAGCTGCAAAGTCCTTGCTGGGGAATTGAACCTGAAAAAAATTCCTGCAAGATACAAGAGTTACAACCTGAAAAGTAAAAGATATGCCCCCATGGGTGCTGGAAATAAAACACTACTTTTCCTTTGGAGTTACCTACTCATGCATGCACATGTTTTGCATGTGGGGATATGGACCCTCTTGCATGATACTAGCAACAAAGGAAAAGATAAGTTTTGAAGTTTGATTTGACAATCTAGCAAAGCTGGCAATGAGTCAATTCAGTTCATATTGAGTTCAATACCACAACAACAACAACATCAGCATCATGTAAGACTCTAATTATATTCATGTTGTTTACATGGATCTTATAATTTTTTTTGGCTTTTGTTGTGTGAAGAATGGAGAACTTAAATCTAGCTCTCCTCCTAATTAATTCCTAATTTGAGTTTCTAAATGCTGCTCAGCTCATTATGAATTGAAATGCACATAAAAAGCTTCAATTATTAACCCTGAATTGTCTACTTAATTCTCATATTTATCCTCTAAGACTTGCCTACAACAATGTAACTCTTTAATAAGGGAAATACAATAGGTTATCACATAACTGACCCATTAATAACATCATCAACCACTTAACAAAATCCAATTATAAAATATCATGTCATTATGAAATTAGGACTGCTTACATCAATCGAATGTAGAATAAGTAATTACTTATTATTAATTTAATTTATTATTGTGTGATGCTCTACAGTGAAGGATCCAAATCTTTTTCTTTCATCTTTTTCTTTTTTGGAGGAAGCAACACATATATTTGTTTTGCTATAATGCTTGCACTCACTAAATCTAAATTAATGCCTATATTTGTATCAAGCTAACTATATGGTTGTGAAGGGCACATTAATTTAGTGATGAATTATTGTGGCCTAAATGGAATCTTCGCTGAGGTAATATTCTTTTTTATGATGGTAAAAGAAGATTCACCAAAAATATTTCTAGTCTCAAACAAATCCCAAGATGATCAGCATGACTGTATAATTAATCAAGATTAGCATACATGAAATAAGAAAATCTTGATCTACAATTTTTTACTATACATGCATCACCTGATTGATCACTCTTGCAAACCATGATAGAATGAGATTATTATTTTAGTTCATATGAGTATGTTCAATTTGTCTTCTTCCAAGATTGATTTCCACCACCAAGCGGACTTGGGAGGATGAGGAAGATGGAGAGGATTAATGAAAGCTGCAATGCTTCTCTCGAAGGAGCTCGAGAACAGTAACTCCCATGTCGATGCACGTGTAAACGAGCATAAAGCGCATGAGAAAAGCCATGATGAAAGGAAGAGAGGAACAAAGCAGGAAAAGGGACAATGGCAGGGTCCCGCGTGCCTGCCTGGGTCGAAGGAAGAGGAGGAAGGAGAGAAAGGAACACTGGCGATCGAATGGTGGTGTCAACGCTGACCTGACCCTATCGACACACCTCGTCACCTCTGTGTGCGTTCTTCTTCTTATTCTGAAACGCCAACACATGTCCTCATGATCACTCCATCACCCCCGCCTTCTCTTCTTCCTCCGTCATGCACGTATCATACCCGAGTCATTTATCACCCATAGGTTCCTGCTGATACCATCCTACACTGCAACATTAAGGAGGGATGTTTAATGTATTCGAGGAGGGAGTACGAAGCATCGCTTTTATATAATCCTTTTTCCGGGTATAATTGCTTTATTGATCATGATGACATGCCTTGAAAGATGTGATTCTGATGCTGCTTTTTATTAGGTTTCTACCCCCCACAAAAGCACGTCCCTTAACGACAACCTACATGTATTATATTCTATAAACTGAAGTCTCAACACAAATTAGAGCGAGAGAGAGAGAGAGAGAGAGAGAGAGAGGATTGCACTGGCTGGCCGACAAGCACTTTGTTCTTTAGCACTCGAGAACTACTTGACCTTGAAGCATCAACTATCCCATTATGTATCGTCTTTCATCCCTTTTTCCCGGTAATATCTAACATTGAAAACTGTTGTATGCTTCTCCTTGCTAGTCTATGGCTATATATATGTATAATAATTGTGATGAATGTATTCATCAGACCTACGAGACTAACAGCAAGCATTGGATCATGAGCTGACTTGCATGCTTACAACTTTGCTTAGAACCAATTCTGACATGATTGCTAATGATCATGACTCGCAAGTCCTCGCTGCAAGGATGAAAAGAAATCATATCAAACTCATCGCTCTTATTGTGGTTGAACCTGTGATCATTTCGTATCAGTCAGTAGGTGCAGAACAAAGCCAGGGTTCAGCTTCTTTCTGGTACAGGATTCTGCATGGATCTTGATGATGTCCACAATGGTCGTACAAACATGATACTGCTCCACCAAATATCTTCTTCTTCTTGGATTTCTTTTTTCCTTTCCTTTTCTTCTTTTACCTGTAGACATCATCGCCTGCTGGGGTGAAGGATACGCATGCAAAGCGACTGCAGAAAGGACACGGTACTATCGATCATCTGCATATATGGATGGCAGAGAGCAGAACAAAACTGCAATAAGGGTCGAAGCTTGGCAAGGAGGAGAGGAGGAGGACATGGTTGGCGACTTGTGTGGAGCAAGAGAATGTATGTTTTGCAGCAGGTTGGCTCCACCGGCCTGCCATGTTTGCTGAAAGAGATGCACGAGGGGCATGTGATGGGACACGCTGGTTTTAACATATTCTTGATGGCGAATTCCCAGGGCCACACATTTCCATCAATGATGCACACATTCTTGGGCTGCCGATTGCTTGCAATTGGATGACGAGGAGGCCATCTTGTTTGAAGTCCATCTGCCACATCACAGCCACTGATCCGTTCGGAAGGAAGACGATGCGAAACTCGATGATCGGGCTCATATTTGCGGATTACAAATTAATGCCTGTGGAACATCCGGTGGGTACGAATGACTGTATCCTTCCTTTTTTATAAACCATGAATGGAGATTCTATCTATTTTTGGTGAACCTCTTGGAGAATAATAACACCTTGTTTTGTTTTCGACCAAGAGTTAGGAACCCCACCTACTGTGACTAATCGATCACCTTAAAAGATTACAACCATAGATAAACAAACGAATCCACCATGCTGAATCACCTTAAAAGATCGATCGATCTTTGTATCTGTTCCACATAAATGATTACAAAGTCTCAAATTACATTGGAGGATCCAACTAACCCATCGCTATTACACAACTCAAATACCATCTTCTTCCCCAAATCAAATTGGTACAACGCTAGTATCGTTCAATGTCAAAAAATCCAAGTATCAACTCCAAGAAATAAATAAAACAGAAGATGGTAGTTTCCACCATTGGATATAAGCTTAATACAACAGATCACTAAACTCGGATGCAAAATCTTCCAACTTAATCTGCCCACATCAATTTCACCCATTCATGTATCTACCTCTTCCTCACTACCTTCATCACCGTCGACCTCCGTGTTAGTGGACTGTAGTTTTGCCATATGTTCAGCAAGTAGCTTATCATCTCGTTCGCTCACCTGCAAAAGCATCCAAGATTCAGGCATAGCCAGATCATCCAATACAATTGCATCATCCACCAAAAAGGGAATTCCAAGGCTATTACAAGTGTTCTAAAAATGTTCAGAAAAGACCATTTTGTCGACAGCACTCAAAACTGTGATGTACAGACTGCAAAAACTTGGCAATCAACCAGACCATTATATTGTTCAAAGATTTGGACAAGAACCAGAGCAAGAAGCTCAATTAACAAAACCGCAATGTAACGCTTCTCCTTTGCAAAAGGGAAAGCAACAAGAATACACCAAGAGAAGTATAATATAAAATATAACTTACAGCTCTTGGTGCCTCCTTCATAGTAAGTTTTCCCTTGTGTCGTTCTATCTCTTCAGTGCAAGCCTTAATTGCATTATTCAGAATTGATATGCCTTGTTCCTACACAGGGCACAGACATCGCAGTAAGAAGAATAAAAAATCAAGAACCATAATTATACCTGTTGACTCAAAATATACCTGACAAAACATAAAATAATCATCACAATCTCTATAGCTCAAGTCTCCAAGAATTAAATGAAGATTCATGAAGAGTCATTGTGCATTTGTAAGAAGATATAAGAGAAGAATTGAATTATAAACAATGTTTATAATGAGTGATCAAATTGATGTCTTGTTGTTAAAAATAGTAATGAACACTGGAAGTACAAATATCAACAGACTCAGCACCAATATTACTGAAAAAATACGTAGGGACTATTTGCCAGAGACCCATCAGTCTCAAAGCCCAAAAAGAAACAGAACACTCTACACAGTCATTTAACTTATTTGTGAGATTTAGCATAGCACTTCCTCAGAAAATCAGATGTCTGCTTGCAAATCGAAACAAAAATATTCACTCCCATTCCAGGAATAACTGAAGTGAGAGATCCCGGATTAATGGCAGTGACCGAAGAATAGTCAGAACTAGCAATAACAAATCAGTACAAGTAACAGAACCATTCATATCCTCAGACACATTTTCATGAAGATATAGTTTTGTACAAGTTAAACATGAAACAAATAGATATTATATCTGCATAATCCATTTCCTATAGACATCCAATTTAAATGGTTTTATGCTACATTCAAGTACATCATGCCATCACGAAACCCTAAGCTCCAGTATGGCACCATTGGTGATATTCTAATTATGGGTATGAAGTTATGCCATGACTGACAGTTTGATACTTTTTTTTTTTACCTCTCTGTTTATGAAATCATGAACAGGAGAAATTTTCAGAAGACTTACTGATGAAAGTTCAACGAGGTTCTAATATGATAATGACAAACACAGAACATCACATTTCAGAAGTTAGAATTTCTTGTTTATTTTGAAAAAAAAGACAAATATTTCACTGCAAATTTGTATCCTAAGGTTAAATTAAGTATGAAATGAGAACCCTAAAAGAAAAAAAACAGTCAAGCAATTGCACAAAACCACAGGGTTAATTGGATTATAAGGGGCCAGCCATTCCACAATACCAGCTCAATAAGTGATGTATGAGTTGACTCAAAACTTCAAGTGAACTATTCAAGTCTTCATAAAATTTGGACGAATTATTGTAACAGTATATAGTAAAGAATGTGGATAGCTAAGCAATTCAACAGCATTCTAAAGTTTAGTTACACCAGTGTTTGGTTAGTTGATAAATATTGAAAGATGTGTACAAGTCCAAACAGCATTCTAATCCATGATTTGAGATAGATGACATGTAGGGTTATTTCATTCACATGGTGGTCCGTGATCCAATAGCTTGTTTGTCAATTATTACATTAGTTGAGATATCTTGGTCTTGCTAGGCTATATATTATATGCATTTGATTGGTCTCGTACTATCAGTCCTCATGCTTGTAAGAAGTTATAAACAGGGGAAGCACCACACGTCGCAACCTATGTTGTTTTCCACATATTTCGAGTACCTAATTATGTAACTCGTGATATTGTCTTTCCTATATGATACTTGAATACGATATTCAATCTCAAGGAACTAGATCAGGTACGTTTCTATCCTGATGGCTTGAAAGGGCTTCGCTGCTAGAGTAACTAAAAAGATATCTGTGCTACACAGTATAAGTTATGTAGAAGATCATTCGAGTTAGATAAAATGGAATAACAAAATCTTGTTTACCTTATCGAGAGTCTGAGTAGTGAGAACATAGAGTGGAGGGGCAACTAGCTTGATCTTCACGGGACAATCATCATTTCCTGCAGCTTCAGCTTTCCTCATAGCTTCCTGTGAGGCAATGGTTCAAATATAACCTACATCATTACATGCTTCATTTTATAGCACAAAAAATCCTCAGCATAATAGCATCAAGAATTTCAATAAAAAAATGTATGCGAGATCAATTGAAAAAAAGAAGAAGAGAGATTTGGCTAAAGTCAGGCATCAGTACCTTAATGTGAAGAACTCCATCGAACTGGAAGCATTTCATCTCTATATCAGCACGTATCTCCAGTGGCTGCAGTGTCATCCTTCTCGTAATATTCCTGACCAAAGCATCTTTCACCTCAGGCGTCACCGCACGTACCACCTTAGTCACCTGCGGTTATCCTGATCAAGAAACACAACTATACAAGTCACAGTAACAAGTTCAACAACTACAAGACCAAGAAAAGGACCTCCTGCCCATCTGCTCCAACTTCCTTCGCTTCTCGAGTCAGGGCATCAAGAACTGAGTCCGGATCCGTCACAATTATCTTGAGTGCCTAAGGAAAACATTTACAAATCGAATCTTTATTGGTTAAGTGGCGAAATCAACAAAGAACGAACTGAATTGCCTGCGTTGCTGAGTGATACCTCGAAAGCGTGGCCGTACTTGCGATAGAGGGGCCACCCGATGTGGATGTAGAGCTCCTCGAGGTCAATGTCCAGGGTCTCCGCGACATGGCGCATGATGGAGTGGACGAGCTTGCTCTTGTTGTACCGCTCCTCGCAGGCCTGAATATCCTCCACGGAGACGCGGCGCTTGGAGAGATCGATGTATCCCTTGTCGCGGTCGACGCGGAGGACCATGACGGGCTCCTGGCGGCCGACCTTGATGAGGGAGGAGACAGAACGGATGCGAAGGCGGGAGAGCTCGGAGAAGAGGATCATACCCTCGATGTTGTTGTACTCCAGGAGAGAGACGTAAGCGCCCATGTCCGCTATGTTCTTCACCTGGATCATCACAGCCATGTCCACCTCCGGGTACTTGGCCTCGTACATCCGGCACTCAAGGTTCGGCATCTTCGACGACTCCACGATAGAATCGAGAGTTAGGGTTCTTCTGATGGGATTAGGGTATGAAGGATTCGCGGAAAGCGAGAAATGTCGCAGGCGGAGGGCAAAACGAGGGATTAGCGTTGGAGGCGTCGGGTTTATGGTTTGGAGATGACGGGAAAGAGGAGGGCTACTTACATATTACGCTCTTAGCATCGTATTTGGACATATCTATAATTATAGAAGATAAAATATATATTAATTTTATTGATAAAAGATATAACACGTGAGTTTTATATTGATATTTAATTTATACTAACAATGTCAATTTTATTAATAAAAGATATCACATGTGATAATAAAATTATTAATTTTACTAATAATATGCATAGAATTATCAATTTTATCAATAATAAAATGATCATTTTATGCATTATCATTTTATTATCAAGTAAATCCACCGTTGTTGACATATATATATCCTCTTATCCTTATCCATCATATATACTAGTATAACGTCTTCATCAACTTCTCCTCCCCTCCTCCATATCGCCCCACCTCTAGGCAACCATATCGAAGGCCTCCATAGTTCGTGAGAACTGCACTTGTATGAACCTATGACACTCATCATGCTACCAAGTCATATTAGGTAGATAGACATATATCGATTGTCACATCATAGGTTAGTATGGATAGTAACGTATTCTTTTCTCTCGGGCCATAAACATCATTGGAATAAATAAGATTAAATATTTTATTTTTATAATTATAAAAATATTAATATAAATTTTGTAAGTGTATGAACGAAAATAGTAAGAGGATCACATAATATGTAATTAAATTGAAGAAGTATGCCTCAAGAGTAAGCTGGAAGGTGTTATAGATCAAGCCTGAATTCAAATTGGACTATATATATATATAATATATATAATTGTGACAATAAATATAAGGGTGACTTTATTAAAAAATATCCTCATTTTGGATATTTGCTAAGTAGTTATCTCATTTGATTTTTTTTAACCATACCCTCTAATATAGAAAATACTAAAACTATCCAGCTTCACTATCCTCCACCGTTGTCATCAGCCAATGTCCACCAATTACCAAATACCCTTATTTTAGATTTTTTAAAATAATTATCTCATTTTATTTTTTTTAAAACCATACCCAATAATCTAGAAAATATAAAAACTATCCTTCTCGATCGTTGTTCACGCGTTGTCATCATCCCTTTCTCGCCTATCATTTAATCATTGTCAAGGTAGACGATGGGTGATAAGGGGCGATGACGAGCGGACATCGGACGAAGATGGGTGAGGGACAGAAGAGTTATAATGAAGAACAATTTTGATATTTTATAGATTAAATGGTATAGTTTGAAAAAAATTAAAATGGAAGTAATTATTTAAGAAATACCTAAAATAAGGGTATTTTCTAGGAAAATCTCTAGCTATTTATGGATGTCTATTAATTTTTTTATATTATTATAATTTAGATAATCATATTAATAGAAAGATTATCTTGGATATTGTTTTCAATGTACATGGGTAATGGGTAATTGAGCAATTACCTTGAATATTTTTAATTGCAAGAGTTCAATATGTCTTAGATAACGTAATAGGACTGTCAATTGCAAGAGTTCAATATTTTTTGTGTTTTTACCAGTTAATTAGTCTTTCTTTTGGGAAAAGAAATTGCATTGGCATTTTATTTTAAGTTTTTATTATTTCAATTAGACAATAAGGATACATGGGTCTTTTTAAAGAAGTCTTTTGAGTGTCATAGTTCCAACTACTTTACAAAGTTTTGATTATATTCAAATTACTTGGAGGAGTTAACTATTTTTTTTATGTATTAAGATTAGAGATCTAACTAAAGAAATGAGTCATTAATGAAATAGAATTTATTTTTATGTATAGGTCATGTATTACAAAGCCTTGGATTTGAGTTTAAGTTAGTCGAGAAGTAATATTCTTTATATTTGATTTTTATATAGTAATTTTTTTTTTATTTTCATCATAAATGTAGATAATGAATGTCAAATTATGTTAATCTTTATGTCAAGCTTTTACTATGTTATTTACTCGTTGATCTCTTGATTTTTTTTGGATTTATAAATATACTCTCCCTCTCTCACATTAATCTTATCTTTTATTAGGTTTTTGTGTAGGAAACTTTTAGGAAGAATCAGAATGAGTTTGTTTTATTGGGAAGAAAAGGCTTCACATTTGATGTTCTTTTAGGCAGCTGACAAAACCAATGATGTTACTCTCATGGCCTCTCCCTCGAAGATTAAATCGAGGTATGCCAAATTATATGTTAAGTGACAGAAATCTAAGAGGGTGGGATCATGACATGGCACTCATGAAGATACATCAATTTATCTAATTAGTAATGAGAATAATAATTTATCTAATTAGTTTATTATAATCAGAGATTATTCCTTTGATGCTTTTTTAAACGATATAGAAAGTCGTCGGAACTCGCAAAGAAGATTATCACAAAGTCCATGAGCTTGCCGGAAGTCCGTCGGAGTATCGTCGAGGGTTCATCGGATGTTCGTCGGAAATACGTCGAAAGCTCACCGGAAGAAGTGATTGACGCACTGGAACACAAATTTATAATAATTAATTATCGTAGTTAGAGTATAGATTAAGTTAGGGTTGGGAGATAATCCCACTAACTTAATTAGGGATCAATTGAACCCTTAACAGACCTAAATTGGGTTGAATGTAACAACCCATTCGGACCCAGAATTCTTAGGAAAAATATTCACACCAATAAATATAAGACATGCGATAACACGATCACTGATAATAGGAAAAAAATTCATACTAATAATATATATATATATTATGTTCATACGTCATAATATTTATTTATTTTAAATTTATTATAAAAAAATACTATGATAATAAACGTCTTCAATTAGATAACTCTATCGTTATTGATCTAAGCATTAAAGAAACCACATCGAGAACTCGATTCAATCACGACATTTATATATTTTGTACATGCTTTTGTACATGCGTTATTGATCTAAGCATTGAAACCGTATCGAGAACTCGATTCGATGACAATATTTATTTATTTTGTACATGCAATACAGAATTCATCAATAATTTTTCATCATTAACTAAGTAAAAATATAGGCCGTTTGTGCTTTGTCCATATTTTGGCGCAGTAATATAGTTTCTTTTTTTTGTTTCTTAAGAAAAAATTGAATGTTTTATTTTATGTTTATATTAGAATTTTAAATACATGATATTTTTAAAAAAGACAAGGATATATATGCAAAAACTCCTTTCAAATATCACCGAGGGTCCGTTATAGATCAAAAAAATCCGTTGAGACGCACAACTCGATCACGCTCGTTTCCACCGCCTCCGGCGTCCTCGGCGTCGATCCCAACCGACCTCGATGGCGACATCCGTCTCTCCTCTTCCATTTGAATCTGCGTCCGTCTCCTCGACCCTCCTCGGACGATCGCGGCCAACTACCTTGTCCCCGCCGTCTCCGGCACCAAGAACCGCCTCCCTCACCTCCTACCGCCTCCAGAGTGGAGTCAACTGTGGGGATTCGGGATCTGTTATCCCCGGATCGGTATTCATAGCATTTCACTACGATCACTGCTGGCACATGGCGGTACACTGATCCCTCCCGACATGGTCACTTGTGAGGGATCTCCCCGTAGGAACTTTGTATCCATCCCCACCCCACCCCCCCCTCCTTTGCATTTGGAACAGATCGAATCGCGTTATACATCTGGCAGATCCGGCTGTGGCGGCCATGACAGCTAGGGCTTGGCAGGGGTTTGTGATCGTCCACCTCATCTTCTCGACTCTTTTCACTGCGCTCTACGAGGATAAGTCCTGGTGACGGATTGGTTTGTAGATCCTCTTTTATATTACTTCTTTTCCCGTCGTCATGTGTGTTTCCTTCTTTTATGCAACTTCGAATATGTTGTCCAGGTTTCTTCTACTTCTTTTGAATTCTTCCTCATTAAAGCAATCAAACATGTACTTTGAATCTCGTCCCTTTTGTTATGCAATCATACCAATAGTTTCATAAATCTCTTGCTTCTCGATGTGTTATTAGTTTGACCTTAATATCTATATGCTAAATTTTGCAAATGAAATAAATGATGTTTATCAAGTATTTTCTGGAGCTAGATTTTTCTGATATCGGGATGATTACTAACAATATTTTAGAACATTAGAGAATTACCATCAGTTAGGATGGGTTCCTTGTAGTCGTGTAAAGTTGCAAATTTTAGATGATAAATCAAGGAAACGAAAATTGCATGCAATTGAGCACAACATCTAGATAATGAGATTTTGATCATGCACTTTATCATCTAAGAGGTTGAGCTGAATACTGTAGAAACTATAGTTTTTATTTTGTATCCATATGTTTGTTCTTACATGTATGTCGTTTCTTCTTTTAAGTTTTACATGGTTATTGGTGGTAATGATTTCAGTATTTCTGCTACAAATATTCTTGTTGAAATTAGAGAGGCACTAACCTTTTCGTACTTGTACTTCTCCTTTTCAGTCTGTTATAATATTAAATTAATTAGATACAATTAGGTTTCTTTCTTCACATCAAATTATTTTGAATCTTAAAGAGCAGAAACTAATTGTAAAAGAAACCCTTATGAGGGAGAACGAGTAGGGTAGTCAAACCTTTTTCAGCCCTTGATCTAACTCTGTGCTTTTGGGGCTTATAATTCCAATCATAAATCACATTTGTTTTCTTGGCAAGAGTCATGTTCTTCTTTCAGTCAAAGTCATTCAGCATCTAGATTGCATATGTTCAATCTGATAGAGTATAGTCAAAATCTTTTTAAATTATCCAACCATATTTTAATAACATAAGATGATTTAGTTGAGTATTTTAGGGGCTCAAATGACCATTCTTGTTAAAATGTATAATTATTTATTGAAGTTGAAAGACATTTATATGGCATGATGTAGTTTATTAAAAGCAACTTTTCTTTGTGACACTCATAACATTGAAACTGTATACCAAATGGGACCACCAATATCTCCATTTTGAATGTCAGTCTGGATTGGCTCTCTACGCTGCCCAAAACTATCCAGTTTGGTTTGGCTTATATGTAAGATGTAGGTAATCCTTTTAAACAGTACCTCCTTGTTTTGTTGAACTTTGACCATCAAGTCAAAATGTGAACAGTCTATCTTGTTTCTCCTGATGTTAGTAAACTACACCGACTTGTTTTAGATCAGTAAAACCATTGGTTCTTGAGTATGGTACTCGTCTCTATTGGAGGGCTCACATGGTTTGAGATTTTCTTGGGTCATGTGCTGTAGCAAATTAGCCAAAAGCATTTTTCCCTGCATTATGTTTATTCTCAAAAAGCTTGTGCCACGTTTTGTAGGATCGACCTATTCCAATGGTGGATCGAATCACCCAACTGATATTGAAACCCTTGGGAAATTGTGGAACCAGTTGGACTTGGCAGAGTTAATCAAACTTGATTATTTTTTAGCTGATTCTAATTGCTTTTGACAAATTATCATTAGTATTGATGAGCTTTGGCTACTCTTAATCTCTATCATTACTGATTCTTTGTGGCGCAATCAATGTTTGACGGGTTTCTTTGCTTCTGGACTATAGCCAACTTTTGGTCAATCATGGACATTTTGAATTGATTTCATGAAATCTGATAAGACAATATGATTCTGTTGGTGCATATTAATCTCAATTTCATCTATCACCATTCTTGAACTGATCTCAATCTCATGAACTTTGGTCAAGTATCATCATTTTCGAATGGTTGCCTTCATCGTTTAACCTCTAGATGTAGCTATTGATGCTAACTTCTGTGTATTTCTGTCATGATTTGTGTATTTGTTTCTTAATTTATTAGTGTACCATTTTTGCCTTCCGAAGATGTATCCAAGCTCACATTATCTTCTCATTTCTTTTATCAACTTTGATACCTTCCAACTAGAAGTTCCAAATGAGAGGGAAGACCTCCATTTTCCCTATCTACCTATCGATGTTTTAGATATCATTTATTAAGCTATGTGTCCCCTCCAGCCTGTGTAAATTCTGGCTGTTTCTCTGAATAAGAGGCATGTGATGAACTTACTGGAGTGGTTCAAAAGGACACCTTTATGATGTTTTAAAGGGGTGATAATTGGAATTTAGGTTGGTCAAATATATGACCATGGCATAGCCATGGATTATTGTATGCACATATGCATGCTATATCATCATGCCTTTGCAAATTAAGATGTGCCCATGTGTCATAGCTAAGTTGTGCATCTACTATGTATTTATGTACGCATATCAGAAAGATGTCAAACTATTTATTCTTTTTTTCTCGTCTGGAGATTTCATATATACATGTATATATACATGTGTTAGGGTGGACCTTGGTACAACACTAAGCTTGCTCCTTTTCAACCTTGTGGCCAATTTTTGAGTCTCAAAAATAGCTTCTCTAAGGTAGAGGGAAGGCTGCATATATGGAGAAATATATATACATATGCATGTATATAATATAGTATAATATAATATAAGAATACTTAAATTTATAAATTTAGGCAAATACTCCAAGCAACTCTTTGTATAAGATTGTGGGTAATATTGCTTGACCTGGTGACCTTGTTGGCGGTTGTGCTGTTGTAATCATAATGTCTATGAAGACTTAGGAATATCCTTTGAGCTAAATTTCCTGTCCTCTGTTCTACCAGACTTTGAGCGTGCTATTATTTAGTTCAGTGGATGATTTGTATACTGTAGTTATATTAGTCAAGTGGATGATCTTTTTTTTATGGCTATATTTTGAATAGATTAAGCTGCCCATTCTCAATACACAGGATAAAACTGGGAGAAAACATGTTGTAGCACTTATGGAAGAGAATGTCATTCCTTCTCTTGATCTCCATGCAGATGATAGCTGTCAGTTTGGACTCATATATTCTGTTATCGTGTTAGTTATCAAGTCTCTGCTTATTAATGTTCAGAGTATGATACCATGAGTAAAATAGGAAACCTTGTTTGTATAATTAGAAACTCCAATTGTGTAAGTATTAGAATATTTGGGGTTTCCTTTTCTCTTCTTGAGAATTGAAATAACTTTTAGTTGGCTTACTTCATGCAGCTTGGAGGCATGTTCTTGGAAAAAATGGCCATCTCAATCAAGTTGACACTGCTCTTTTGAAGTGTAATTTTCTCTAGTACTTTGTAGATGTAGTTAACTTTTTGGGGCATTAGCCTATGATTTCCACTCTTTGAGTAGGTTATCCCTGTCATCTTGATCTTTTTATTTGTATGCTTTTAGCTAATATGTTCTATATTGGAACTAGTGTGTTTTTCACTTCGTATGTTTTTACACATTCTTAATACCTTTTTTCATATCTATATCTTCTTTTCTTTTTAGAATTCCTCTCATGTTTAATGCTAAACATATGCAAAGTTTTTAGAACTAGGATCTTTATATAGTTACAATTAAGGAGTCAAGAATTCATTGCATGTGGCATGCATAGTTGTTGGAATGTCACATGCTGCATGTTGTTCCATGCTGAATCTCAGTAGAGGCTGTTTTGCTGATGGTACTAGATGAAAAAGGGAAGAAAACTGGAAACTAAAAAGAATGAATGAAGAAACAACAGTTTTTTCTTTGCTTTGGAGGAATGCTGCATCATTCCCATAAATCTCTTGTGGCCATCATACATGGCAGATGATTGTGAGCTTAACACTGAGGTGAGTAGTAACTGTGAAAAGAGTTAGGCCATAAAAAGGGAAACCCAAAAGCATACAATCAAAATCTGTTGTCAATCTAGCTGTGGCTTGATTTGGTTGATTCTAGTCTGGTTGGTTCCGTAGCGAACATTGATGGAACACGTTTCAGAGATTCTTCAACATGATGCAATATGGTGGGTTAAATCTCATTGAAATGTTACATGATACTTTGGTGGACGTGCCTGAAGCTTTTTATCGCTGATTGGAACGTAGTGTTGCTCATCTTCAAACATTTAAATGGTAGTTCTTCTCCAAGCAAATAATATTTTACGTATGTGAATTTGTGGTTTCTTTGCAATATATCCTCTTTTGCATTGTGATCTCTTAATTTCTAGATTGAATGACCTGTCAATATGAACCTTTTGGTTGTGGTAATACTTCTATGCAATTGGCTCCTAAATAGGAGGATGTAGCTCTGGCAACATATTCCACAAGATATATCTTTTGGCTGGCAGGTCTTTACTAATTATGGGAACTGCTCTCTGATAATTAGATTGCATTACCTATTTCCAATCATAATTTATGCAACTTAAGTCTATTTATGATATATATCTTCTCCAAACTTAGTGTTGGTTTAAAGTTTGGTGTCTATAGCTTTTCTCTTTTCATTTTGTTGCCTCTGATTTTATCATTGAAGTGTCTATGTTAGGTGATCTGGTTTGTGTAAGTATGTAAAATATTTTCTTAGGTAAAATGATATCCAGTGGTCTTGGATCTGAAGATCTAGTAGATTTCTAATATATTGCAAAAGCACCTGAGTTAAGGTAGATGGTGTTCAACACAAGGAAGAAATTTCTGAGAATCATTATAATCGTATGTTAGCAATAGAAACATGTAGCATCTATTTTGTAATTTTAAATTTTTAGCTGCAAAGTTAACAAGTTTATTGTTGGACGTAGACATAAACAATGCATTATAAATATCACATATTTTAACAGTTGTGAATAAACACATAGCATACATTTTGACAAAGTTCTTAGTTGCAAAGTTAGTTTTATTTTTGGGTGTAGACATAAAAAATGCATGATCAATATTGCATCTTTTTTACAATCATGAATAAGCACCGCAAGACCAGCTCTCTAGATATACCATCTATGAAAATTCTGGAGTGGAAAAGTTGCATTTATATAATATTGTATACTCTTGATCCCTTGAATCTCTAGAAGTGCAAGGACCTGAACAGTAATCTCCATTAGATCACCGTTTTTAGATGAACAGTATGAAGCCCTTTAGTTGTGCTACTATAAAAAGATAAAATGGAATAAAGTACTAATTCTGGTTGGTATTGTGAATGAATAAAGCTATGATGACAAATGTCCAATACACAGTCAACTTGGCTTGCTTAGTCAAGGCTGCTCGGTTTATTCAGCCAGTTTAACCAACCAAAATTTACTGATGCAGAAGTTGCCAATCTCATGAAAAAGTGAATTATTGGACCTACCAGAAAAGGGAATAAATCTGGATTTTGCAGGACCTTAAAAATTCTGTTAATGTGCTATGGGAATAGATTCAATTCTTCCTGATGAATTCCCACTCACATTATACTTATCTGTAAGAATATGAAGATTAGGACTTTGACGGTTTGTATATATTCCAATGAATGAACAAGGTGCATCTGATTATCTAATGGCTTTTGTCGGGTAGTGGTCACTGGAGAATGCTTTTGCAGTTTCAAGCATCCATGTATGAATATTTTATTGTTGAACTTAATTGAGTATACTTCTATATGCTAATTGCAAGGAATATGTCCATCAGAACACTGCTAAATTTTTTCAAGAAGGATATTCTCATATTACTGCTCTTGGCACTTCACCATTATTTTGTTCCTCATTGTTTTGCTAATCCCACTCAACCATTTGGATTATGGAGTGGCATAAGTTTACTTCATCAGTTTGGCAGTGGGCTTTAGATGAGTAGTGAAGAATTCTATTGAAGCCAAAGATATCAAAGGCAACAATGTTGATGGAAAGCAAGTCTGTTCCAAATTTGTGATTGAAAGAGGAAGCAGGAAAAGAGGGACGTACATATTATAAGTCGGTCGTGACTCATTTCCACTAATCTTTATCCAGTCTGATGTTGACCTAGAATGCCAAAGTGATTTAACTTAGCAAAATTCCAGACAATTCAAAGTGTAGGTTTGAAAATAATCTTTCAGAATTACTGGCCTCAAATTAGTGGTTGTTGGTCATGTTACTTTAATACATAATTGTGTTATAGGTTTATGCAGCCCATTCCAAATAAGAAACTGATATGAGTAAAGTTTAATGTTTGAACCTACTTTACTCTAGTTAAGATGTGAATTTGAGATTTAGTAGGAGGACAATCAGTTTTGCTTTAGTAGTTACTTTAATCATATTAGTTGTGATTTATTTTACCGTTGGTTTAGAAGTCTAAATGAAGTATCCCCCAATCCTATCCTTGTATATATTCAGTAGCACCTTTAACAAATCAGAAGGATTTCTAGAAGTATTTAGATTAATATAAAAGAAAGTTCAGCCAATAGGAGAAACAATAATTATCCAGTTGTGGGATCCTGGATGGTCAGGACAACATTTAAGCATTGTATCAATATCTAGCATGTCAATTATCAAGCCATACAACACTTGGATTCAATCAAAAAAGGTTTCTGGATGGTTGGTTGGCTCTTGTTAGTTCTAATTTCTTTCTTGTTTTTTGAACATTTTGGCTTCTGTCTTCAAAGATCTTGTCCTAATAACATCTCTTGTCTCTTCCATTCTAATTTCTTTTATTTGTTGCACTAATCATTACCCACTTAAGTGACTTTTCCTGCATAGTAACAATCTATATTTGGATTAGATAGGTTTTGATTTATCAGGAAGGTTTTGTCATATAGATGAATCGGATACAGGTTTATGCTTTTGTAAGAATCTCTTTGTATTTTTGCTGATATAAGAATCTTTGTTATAGTACAAACTTTTATCAAGTGGAAGGCCTGAAAGATATCGTGACAACAAATGCCAAATTGGAATTCACCCAAGCATGTTTTCTCTCAGTGTATATCTCTTCCTTACCGAGATTGCTCCACCAAGAGCTTATGATTCGCTTACTGGAGATTTCAGCTGCACACGTCTCACAATCATTTCACTAGTTGCCGCCATTTCTGTGACATGGACCTCATCCGAGCAGGAGCATAGAGAGAAATAGAGGTAAAGACCCTCGACTTCCATGAGCCACTGAATCATCCACCATCTTCTTGGCCGCTCTCTTTTTCCATCTCTTTGGCTAATAAAATAGAGACTCCTGAAAATTCAGTGTTGGCATCTATTTGGCAACAAAGACATGAACGGTTTCTATGTTTGCAGTCCTTGATATCAATGTCGGGATTATTAGATGACACTGTTGGTCCTCTCCAGACATGGCTACCAAACAGATTTTACATGCTAGAAATCCTAAGACTAAGACTGAGGTTTATGAAGGTGACTTCCATTTATCATCTTGTGTTGTTCAGCTTTTACAAACTAGGTGAAGCCCTTGCCGGAGTGATGACTGACATCAGAGATCGCAGCCTGCTAACAAGCGCTTCCGACTTCTTTTCATTTTGGTGGCTTGGTTCTTCAAGGTAGAGTTGTTTTCATATGCTGTTATCAAGTGTTATAGCCTCAACTAACTAATTGCCTATAGTGCCTGTGCCAGGTCCAGTTTCTCTAGATGCCACCTGTTACCTGAAATTGAGATGCTAGATATCTGAAAGCGATAGGATGTACTGTGAGTGAAGGTTTCATATTTTTCATCCAATACTATCAGCTAGGATGGTTTTGGAGTCTTCAGCTAGTGGCAGCCTAAAAGAAGAATTCACAGGTTCGCAATACCGAACAAAAGGTGACACACTTGACAAAAGATTGGGGCAAGCATGCTAATAATGGTAAATGATTTTCAAAGTATCGTTGGCAATCATCGAAAGCAAAACACTTTGAGTCGAGCTGCACAATGCAAAGCCGGAGACGAGGGGTCATATCCTATTTCTCACTTTGTTGAAGCTGTTGACTCTTTCTGGTGCCAGAGTCTGACTTGCAATCAATGCAGCCCATTTGAAGGAACACCATGGAGGCCTACCACCACTTGCCTCACCCCTTAAGAGAAGCCATGTGATATGATGGTACTCCACCTCTTGATACAACTCCACTTTGCGGTCTGCACTTGAGCCCACCACTCAAGTAACAGAGGCCATGCACCATTTGAAGATGGTACAATCACTGTTGGGTGCAACGGGGATTACTGTAGCATCCATGTTGGAATAGTGAAGGTGGGTCTCACTGATTTGAGCTCATTTTTATCTCCAACGAATCGAGAAGGTTATCTTCCTTCTGTCTGCAGATGGCAGTGCATTGAGGATAAATTTTTAAAGGGACTTCGTAACCTGCTGTCTACACTTATCACAGGGATGCTCAACTATGGGAATACAAATTCATAAGTTGAAAGGCCAGAATACTCAAGGTAAAATTTGTTGGAGGTTTGGAGCATAGTATGATTTAGAAACTAAGATTACATTTGGCTGGGCCTTGCATCGAATTCAGTACAGTGCAGATGTTTAATACAAGATAGAAAATTCGGTAACATGACATGATTCTATCTTCTACCAGATCCCAGTTTGGGGATATTGGTGGTAGAAGGGGTCGCATTGTTGCAGCATTGCTTCCATGCTTATCAGCACACAAAAAGTTATTGATGCTACTGTTGGTGACACTACTTAAAAGAGGAGTCTCTTGGTCCACCTTATCTCGTCAACCATAGGAGGCCAAGAAAATATCCAATCTTGGGTCCCAAAAGGGAACCCATTGCTACTGTGGAATGGTTTCCAATTAGATCAGGAACTGTAAGAAAGAGGAGGCTGAGGGAGACTTCTAATCACTCTGTTACACAACCCACCAACAAAGGAGGTCCCCTTCCACCTACAATTCGACAACTACGTTGGTGCTCATTCTGTATCATGTAGCCCAAATCTTTCTCTGGATTCCACTGTGCCACCACCGGCAACTCGGTCCACGAGCACATCGTTCAAGTGACTGCCATCATGTTATCAATCTCAATTATTGGATCTGAAGTTGGCGCCGACGCAATAGATGCATGTAACGGAATCTTGAATTCCATGGGGCTACCAGCTTTCCTAGGCATGTTCTTGTGATGCCTTCTTTCCTTTGGCAAAGTAGCATGCTTGATACTTTGGTCTTAGACCAATCAAATGAACATGAAGATTAGATGTGGGAAGTGAAAGCCACTCCTAGTTTCAGATCCTCCTTATCTCAAGATGGTTCCAGAGTGATGCTTATTTATCAAATAATGTTGATCTATATGGAAGAAAGAAACCCCTCAACTAATGATTCTCTTGAGAGGCACTTGAAATTGCTGTTATTTGTCCAGCCATTAAGGTAATAATTATAACCTTAAGCAAGAAAACTATGTTAACTAAGTTATTTTTAGCTGCTACAGTAAAAGGTTACTAGAAAGATGTGGGGTTCACATTTTGGATTCCTTGTTCGTATAATAGAGCATGAACTAAAAAAGAATCTGGATAGAAAAAAGGTATGTTAAGGATAACTTTTTTTTGTTTATTACATAATCTTAGTCCAGTTGAAAAAGTTAATTAATACTAATATATGAGTCTTTGGAATAGAAAAAATGACACATATGGTGTCCCATAACTTCAAATGTCTGACATGGTGCTCTGTTGATTGTAATATACTTTTTACAATGATTATTTCTTTTAGAAAAGTTTACAATGATGACTTCAGCTAATATACCAGAGCAGAACACCTGACACTAGATTCTGATATGATATTAACCCGATTATAAATTATTGTAGGAGTTAGTAAAATTAAAGGATTAATTAGTCTTAGGGTGGAGACACTAGTTCCTTCGGTTACGATTGCTAAAAGATGGAGAATGATGCGGGGCTTATCTTGTGGGGCTAAGTGGATCCCGGTGCAGGGATGGTGGGGGACAAGGGTGGACCAAGGTTGAGGGGCAGAGAGCATCAAATGGGAACAAAAGGAGATGAGCATGTGTTGTGTTCTGGGGCCAAAGTTAGGGAAAAAAAAAAGTCCCAACAGGACAGATAAAAACTGCTATAGGATTGTCCACTAACAAGGCTTTCGTTGTTCTGATCTGACTAATTTTGTTGTAGGATTTAAGCTCAATATTACTGATATATCTTTCATTTTCTTTTTCTTGGTAGAAGATGTCCCTTTATTATGGAGAAATATACATGATCTAGTCTGGTAGTAACATGATGATTAATGTTGGTATTTTCTTGTTTGTTAACTTACTGGATAGAAACACATTATGAAGGTTTAGAATTGTAGATTGGCTTAAGTGATTGCTACTGTAGGAGTTGGAAAACAAATGTTACTAAATATTTTAGCTAGATAATAATGGCAATGCAAACTGTTAACTTTTACTTGAAGCCATCATGTTTCTTGTTTGCCGCTGTACCTGTTTTTAGGAGCTTGACAAGCAGTTTATCTTCATTACCTAATAATGTCTCTTGTGCCTTGTTCTTCACTTTTTTTCTTATAGCTAATACATTTTTGAGGATTTGAGATCTACCAGAAGATCCAAGCACCCACAAAAGTTTCAGCTGTTTATGAAGCATGCCATGCTGAGACATCAACAGGGACCTGGTGAAATGATATATCATAGCACTACAATCTCAAGCACCCCTAGGAGAATTTTTCACTACAATCTCAAGCACCCACAAAAATTTCAGCTGTTTATGAAACATGCCATGCTTAGACATCAACAGGGACCTGGTGAAATGATATATCATAGCACTACAATCTCAAGCACCCCTAGGAGAATTTTTCAGTACAATCAGCAGGTCCTCATTCCAATAATGTATCACTTTGTGGACACACACCTACTAGTTTAGCGGGTCAATGGGAAATATTTATTAGCAAAGGGGACATTCTTATGCTTTAATCGAGGTTATGTTGGTTGTAAAGCTGCTTTTTGGCGACATAGATTGTAAATTAATGCCCCTAACAAAAAAAGTTTGGATCTAGTGGCCTACATTATCATGATTTCGATCACTAATTTAAACAGTATGCAGTAGATCCAATAGTTCCCTTTCTTGTTGCTGCATATGGCTCTACTTGTGACATTTTTTGAGTAGCTATTGTTTCGTTCTAAATGTTTGGGTACTTGGCATGCAGTCTGATTTGATGGCATGATGGTAAGAGTAACGTAAAACACTAGACATGCCATCGGTGGATCACACTGTTGAAATATGAACCAATTTTTACCATTGGTCAACTCTGAATTAAGCATTTAGTTATGTATATTTACCATACTGTCAATGATATTATTTGCTACATTTTGACTGAAATGTTTTGAAGAAAAGATCAAATGTTTGTTCACAAAATTTTCTTGGAAAAGACAGTCCTCCTCTTCGTTTGAATCTTTCTTCTTACTGACATGTTAATTCTCATGTGAAAGGTTTAGCAGAAAAGAAAAGGATGAGAGACAATTTTTCTTGGTCAGAGCCTTGGTGATGGCAAAACAACAAATTCCCTTTTGGCTTTTCTCTGTCTAATTTTGGGCACCATTCCAATATGGTGAAAGGTAATTCTGAAAGCTTCCGTGTGCTATTTTTCTTCTATTTTCTCTTTCAACTATTATGAAATAAAATTAATCTTAAAACGAGTGAAATAAAAATATTCTATAAGGATTATTAATTCTTGTCCATTTCCTTGGTTAGCATTGTTAGGATAGCGTAGAGGCCTGAAAGGTGCATGTATTTGGTAGAGTGCTGTGTCTTTTGGCTGACAAATTGCTTTAACATGTCATACATCTATGTCACTTTAGACGTACACAAGAAACATGATCTGAATTCAACTTAACTTTATGAATCTTATATTTCAGACAAACAAACAAGTCATCATAACTATAATGGTGTCTTATTGAAGTTCATCGAATTATTTACTGCCTAAATTGTTTGCAGCACAGAAATAGAAATTGTATGCATTTGATGCTAACAGATGTCATCTATATTATATCAACTTGATGCAGTATCCTAGGTAGGTATTAAAGGAGACTGCCATATATAATATACTAAGTATTATAGATCTATCCCATGGAATCAACTAAGCTTAATAATTCAGTACACATATTTAAAATCAAGTGGGCATAGTTAAACCAATTGCAATCAGAACCATGCAATTATGAAGAATATAGTTACTTACAGATGTTTGATCAATTAGGCTGATTTCTAAACCGTAGCTTTTTCCTTATTATCTTAATTGAATAGTCACACTACCACAAAAGATATATGTGAGCATTGAATACTGACATTAGGATAAGATAAAAAATGTGTCTCTGTATTATTTGAATTCCTAAGCAATTATCATAAAATTATTCAGCCAAAAAAAATATATACCCAATTTCTAAGCAGTAGCTTTTTCCTTATCTTCATTGTTCAGATATGAATGAGAAAATATATGTGAGCAATGAATACTAACATTAAGATAAGATAAAAAATATGTCTCTGTATTATTTGAATTCTTAAACAATTATCATAAAAATTTTCAACCAAAAAAAATATACACACAATTTCTAACCTTTTCTCTTTTGTTGTTCCCTTCAGTCCACATGCATTGCTACAATTTCTAACCTTTTTCTATGAGGAAAAAAAAAAGTAGACAGATCTACCAAATCTCCCCACTTTTTTTTGTTGTTGTTGTTTTTTTTGTCTTTCTTTTAATATCGAGTTAATTTCCAAGTATTTTATTGAAGCACAACGTGCGGCTGCCCACCCGAGCGGCGCGAGTAGTTACCCACACTAGTCTACCCTTTTCAGTAAACAAAGCTATTAATAGGTTATAGTATTAATTATTCCATTAAAAAAATATAAAGAAGAAAAGTTAATTGAGACACCGCCGGAAACTCACAGTGTTTTGTCGGTAGATTAATTCAAAAAAAAAATAAAAGCATTAATAATCTCTTTCACATGCACGAAAATAAAATGACATTTATCATCATTTTTTTGCCTCCATTACAATGACATGATTAGACGATGACGTGAAGTATTATACTCTTCATGTACACATTACGACCCAAATCGAAGTAAAAGACATCTCGTTTCTTCTTCCTCTCCTCCGTTTCCTTACTCAGCGCTTTGGAATATACTCGTCTTCCTCGCTACCTCTATCTCTTCTTCTCTTCTCTCTCTTGTGTACTCTCTCTCTCTCTCTCTCTCTCTCAAAGATCACCACTTTTAATGGTCGCTGGCTCTCTTTGCGGATCACCGCCTCTCGAGCATGATTACATAGGTCTCTCGGAGCTCCACTGCCCCGCCGCCGCCGCCGGCATTGGCGGCGGCGGAGCCGAGGACGGGGCTCTCAACCTGAAGGATACGGAGCTGAGGCTGGGCCTCCCTGGGTCGGAGCCCGCTGAACGGAAGGACGAGGTTGGCCTCACCCTGGGGCGCCTCCCTAAGGTCTTCGTCTCCGGCGCCAAGAGGGGGTTCTCTGACGCCATCGACGGGGCGGGGAAGTGGGGCCTCGCTGCCGGAGGGGGCGGATCCGAGGTGGAGGGCGGGAAAGGTGGCGCCTTGTTCTCGCCGAGAGGGGAGAACGGTGGCGGGGGGCTGCTGCCCGGGCACGGCAACGCCGGCAAGGATGTGGTGGCGAAGGCGGCCGGGCAAGAGCGGAAGGCCGCCGCACAGGTTGGGAATTCTGCTGGTAGTAGTGATCGTGGCGTCGCGCCTGCTGCCAAGTAAGTGTCTCCAACCGCTGCCGGAGCTGAAATTTGCATCTTTATATTGTTTCGTTTCCTCCGTCATATATGATGCGTGTTGTTTATCTCAGAAAGCATGTTTCTACATGTTCTAAGGTGATAATACTACTAAAAAAAGAAAATATAAATTTGTTCTACTTGATTTCTCAAATTACGGGAGATCGTAAGGTTGCTAAGAAAACTAGTTTCTTGCTCTCTCTGATTTGTAGTTGTAGATCTTTAGTAGCTACACACTTCAAAATTACGGGCTGCATTTGCACATGGATAAGAAGTTGGATATGCCATGAATCTAATCCAATTCCTGATCTAAAGATTGTCTTTGCTGAACTTCTAAAATTATTGTTTGGTGTTCCTAATGTTCTCTGTGAACTTTTCACCATGCTGACACTTTTGCGCTTTGAAGGATAACCTGATTTGGTTGGGACAAACTTTTTCCGAACTGGGGATGAGATTTTAACTAGGCTAGTCTTGTTTTGATCCGATGAGCACATCTAATGATGAGTAAAAACTGGAACAGGGCACAGGTGGTAGGTTGGCCACCGATCCGCAGCTACCGTAAGAACACTATGGCAACAAATCCATCAAAGAACAAGGAAGATGCCGATGGAAAACAAGGTCTAGGATGTCTTTACGTCAAGGTCAGCATGGATGGAGCACCGTACCTTAGGAAAGTTGACCTGAAGACGTACAACAATTATAACGAGTTCTCCGTGGCACTCGAGAAGATGTTCAGTGGCTTCACCATCGGTGAGCTGTGGCTTTTCTCCATTTTTGCTCTTATGATTCACAGAATTTTCATGATTTTCTCTCATTGTAAGAGTAAACGTTTTGTTGTACTTCTTGCCAAAATTCAGTCACTTATTTGCTTATTTTCTTAGATCTGTATGGGTTTTCTTTTTTATGCTGTTTAAACAATTCAGTCAGGCTGATATCTTGCATTGGCTACACTTATATTGTGATTCACATGATTTAAGAGGATCGCGCCATCCGTATGTTGTTTAAGAAATAAAATTTAGCTGCATCTATGATAATATGATAGTGTTCATCAGATCAAACGAGTTCTTAATTTTATTTCAAAATTCTCTGACCCTTCTTTGACTTATTTGAGACCGAATCATGATTTACTTTGTGAAACACTGTAGAACTGTATGATGTTCTTAATGCAGAAGCAGAGTTCTTGTTCATCTCCTCTATTGTTCCGAAGTTGAAAAGTTTGTGTGTTGGCATTACGAGGAGTTTACTTGCTTTTTGTAATTTGTGCTACTCCAGGCCAGTGCGGTTCTCATGCAATACCAAGCCGAGATGGGTTATCCGAGAGCAGGTTGATGGATCTTCTGAGTGGTTCCGAATATGTGCTCACTTGTGAAGACAAAGATGGTGACTGGATGCTTGTCGGAGATGTGCCATGGGAGTAAGTACAATATTCCTCGATGTGAACTTTATAGCTATAGTCGAAAGAATACAGATCGTAAACATGTCATTTAGCTTCTACTACAGATTAATCATCCTTTTCCAGTTTTGCATATGTTTTGGTATCGACTGCTATCCATTTGAGATATCTGAGGCAAATAAAAACTGATAATCGAGACTTAGGTTGTATATTCCCATGGTCTAGTTCAGCTTGAACTTATTTTTCACAGGTGACTAGTGAATGATTCGATCTCCAATAATTTTATTCTAGGTAGTGAGTTTTTTTCTTCTTTTTGTGGCAGATTTGATGTGTCTATTGCTGCTTGATCATTGACTGCTGATATTTTACTTGAAATTTCAGGATGTTCATCGACTCTTGCAGGAGGCTGAGGATAATGAAGGGTTCAGATGCAATTGGACTTGGTGAGTACAAAGATTAAACCGGTGTACAGAATTGCTCTATCCAAAATTATATATGTACAAATAGACGTCTGGTTACTTAACTGCATGTAACATTAGTTAATAGAAGAAATATGTAGCTTTTCTGGATTGTTAAATTCTATTCCCATATGAGTAGTCAGCCAACTTTTACTTTTGAAATTGTGATAGGTATGTAGATATGTTCGATAGCTGATTTAAGATTATATTGTGATGTGTTATGCTAATCGTTTTCCACCTGATACAGAACAGACTCATGTGATAGTCGTCGATACATCATGAATCATTTAGGTCTCATTGTATATTTTTTTGTGTATTCATTAATCCCTAATTCTTGATAGCCATATTCTAATCAACCCACTGCTCAAAAGATGTGCTTTATTGTCTTACTCTACCACCTTTGTGGTAAAAGATACTGCTACAAGGTGAAAGCTCCACTACCCGTGTTCTAGTTTTGATCAGAAAATGCGTCTACTTATTGGAAGTAAAACCTATGGTTAAAATCTTCTTCTTATATTTACCTCTGTTTTCGTTATGATAGAATGTCTAACCAAATGTGGTCCTTATTCTTACAGCTCCAAGGGCCATGGAGAAATGCAAGAACCGTAACTAGGGGCCATCGCCGACCCTTCTATGAAATCAAACATGAATCAGGTGCCTCCGTAGGGGCCTCCGAAATGTTTAACAAGGCCACCGGCAACCGTCATATATCTATCATATTGCATAGTTTGCTACTAAGACTCTGTTAGCTAAGATTCCCTAGGATCATATAAGCTATTTATGATTGTGAATTTGGTGTTTGTATGTCTGTCTTGCTATTGTTGTATGTCTGAACATTTGGCTTGCTGTTTGCAACTGTTATAATTGAAGTGTCCTATTTGAGACTGCTGTTTACAATGTCTTTTATCTCTCGTCTGATACCTAACAATGGAAGTCACCCAACAAATGTCCACACCTCTGATAAGGACATAAAGGTTAAAAGTGCATCTGAATGAACTGCATTCGGATGGTGAATTGGCTACGATGCTACCTCTTGCCTTGTGTTCTTCTCTGGTCATGTTGAGGTCATACCCCACCTCATAAACCACCTCTTTTAGGTTTCGCTTGCTCTTGAAGTGCAGATGTTCCTGTGTCTCATTTCTGACTTCTCATTCTTCCGAGATAAATGGCTTTGTGATTGTTCGTCTGAAAAGCCTCATGCCTAATTTCCCTGTTTCTGGTCCTCCAACTGTAGTGATACTTCCATTCAGGCCTTCTGTTTCCCAGTACTAGACCTGCATGGTGAAGTCAAGCTCCATGGCCAGCTTTATTTGAGAGGCTGTGCTGTGTGGAGACAGACCACCACCATCTATTTGCTGTGCTCTTTTAGGGCAATGATGTTGTCTGCAGAAGAATTCACAGGTTCCTAAAACCATCATTTCATCTTCCAATTAAATATAGGGCAGTGCAAATTTGGTGGGTGGGTTTGTGTTCCCTTATAATTAGGCTTTTTCTTCCCCCCTGGGAATCAGACTTCCTCCTTAGAAATGATGCCTCACTCCGCTTTCTCTTCATATGATGTCTCTCTGTTGGTGGCCACTTCGAGCATTGCAATCCATATCTGTTCTATGCTTTTGACTGGTGTATTCTCTCTCTCTCTCTCTCTCTCCCCCTCCCTCCATGGGTAGATATGACTGAGTTTGCCTTTTTGCAGAGCCAGAAAGGCTGCTTGAACTAAGAGTGTATCACCTGCAAGTAGAGTGAGTCCTCTGAAGCTTCTTAAAAGAAGCTGCACATTGACCAAAACAAACTAGGGCATCCATTGATGGCTGCTGATGCACTCAAATACATCAGAACGATGACTGCTGACCCTGCCAAAGCAGTGACGATGATGGGAAGACATGAACGGTGGGGAGGAGAGGGAGGGAGAAGGTGTCAATCACAATATGGCATCGTGCGATGGATGAGAGGGCATGTGAGGGGCCTGCATTGGAGGTGGGTGAGGGGACAGTCTTCATTTAGTGCTAGGAGTGGCCGTTAGATGGTGACCGATACATCCCCTACTGGCCATTGCTGACAGCATCCTTGTCTCTGAACTGACTGACTGACTGACTGATGACCCGTGTAGTTGACTTTGGCCATGGATTACTGAGAGACACAACCTCTTTTACTTGTGTTTATCTCTTTCTCCTGAGATACACAACTACTGAAGTAAGCATTATTCGTTTACTTGTTTCTTGTCCTTGGAACACAAGTAGGGTTTCAGCTTCTTCCCTTTGTTCTTTTGTGACAAAGGAAGGCTGTGAGATGATAGTAACAACCTCTTACAATCTGAACCTTTTTTTAACTCACAGGCTGTGAGATGATACTGTTTATTTAAACAGTAGTTTACATGCATGCATGTGGTTGAGAATCAAGTTTATCAAGACTATTTGGATTTTGTCTATTAGTGAGTGGTGTAGTAAATGTAGCCTAGTCTAATGAGCAATCAAGACCTGATCTGTCTTCTAAATTGGGCCAGGAGACATGGCCCAGATCATGACATTTTTGCATCAATCCAACCAAGCATTGATGAGGAAGACACCGAGGACAATAGCCGTGTCACCTGTCACAAGCATAAGAAATCTCTCTTGCTTTGGCTGACTCATCTTTGATCCCAATTGGTTCATCCTCATCTGTTATGTAAGCGTAGTTATCAAAATCGGATGGGACACGATCCGATCAAGTCTTGAGTTATATGTTAGACAAGGTTAGCTCCCCAGTGAATCCAATGCACCATGGCAACCACTACTGATATGATCTCACTCCCAACCATTCTTCTTGCTGAGCCAAGAAAAATTCTGCACAAGAGCTTGGTGGCCTTACAAAGCTGATTCATTGGAAACAATTAAAGAAGATTTTGATTTAACTAGTGATTATTGTTCTACTAAAGATAGAAAAGATTCATCAAATAGTTAAATCGTCATTGTTGTGCAATCAATGTAGCTCTATTTCATTCTCCAAGGTAATTAATTGGCTACATGACGACAAATATTCAAGGATTTTTCAATCAAAAGCCTGGCAGGTCCTCTTTTATTCTGAGTCTTTTGTAGTAACATATAAATTGATATAAAAGCATTTGCTGGCATACTTGTCCTCTGAGCTAGCACATTAGTCTAATCCGTTTAGATAAAATTACATATCTTATATGCAACTAGAATCACAATTGAACGAATGAAGTATCTATCTATCACAATGCAAAAAAAGGAAAAGAAAATGCTTCAAACTACTGAGAATAGATTATTTAGCTGAACTGATCCAATGACACTTATGTTTTTCTTTTTTCTATAGATTTTTTTTTCATAAGAAAATAAAATAAATTACTCAATTAAATGAGTACAACCATCTTCTCTCCTGTTAGAAGAGACCAAAATATATAGCGCTTTAGGGGTATCAAATTATCACAACCAATCACTCGAGCAATATTTGCATGCCAAAATGGTCGTGTTACAATCCCCAACTATATCTTCTAATATGAATATCATGTAAAGCAATTCCAAAGACCAATAATTTCGACCTGGTCATTCCTTAACCAAAAAAAAAATAGAACATACAAACGTGCAAACAAACATCGAGCCCCAACTATTTTTTGTTCATTTTTAATTCAGCTGCAGCAATAAGGAACGATTGGATCGTTCAGATACATTGACTTTTGAGGCATGTCGCCGGCCAAGGAAAAATATCAATCAGCGAATATTATATATCACCGGCTTACACCCATGAAGCGCTTAGTGCACGCCACAACTAAATCAGAACCAAGATTTTTATGCCAGCGTTGCAAGATGAATCCCTTGGGCATACATAAATGAAAAGTTGGATCCAGTAAAGGCATAGCTGTGGAGAGTCGGCTCAGTTTTCGGATCATATATAAGAACAGGCTCTCTCGTTCATGGCTATCATATATCCGAAGCCCTCACAGGTTCGATATCGTAAACAAGAGGAGGCACCTCCGGCCGGTTGCAGGTCGGCAATGGCGGACGCCCGTATCCTTATCGTCGCTCTTGTCGCTCTGTTCGCGTTTGATCGACGTCTCGTTCATGCAAACTTCGCCAACGACACTGTACCTTCTTGGGGAGCTCAGAACGTACGGGTCTCCGCCGATGGCGAAAACCTCACCCTCACCCTCACTAACCAAACAGGTATACACATACACAGAGTCTAAACTAGCCGATCTTTTCACTGTCGCATATAATTTCATTTCATGTTTAGGTTGTCGGATCGACACCGTCAATCGGTTCATGTTAGGCAGCGTAGAAATGAACATTAAGCTGGTCGCAGGGAATTCTGCCGGTACTGTCACTTCGTATTACGTAAGTGGATGCAAGTGGTCGATCAATTCCCACCAAAGTCATTGAGGTTTTTATCCTCTACGATCAACATCTTCTTCATCCCATGCAGATGTCCTCGGACGGATCAGCACACGACGAGATAGATTTCGAGTTCCTGGGGAACTCGACCGGACAGCCCTACATCATCCACACGAACATCTATACACAGGGCATGGGGAAAAAGGAGCAGCAGTTCTACCCCTGGTTCGACCCTACTTCCAGCTTCCATAACTACACCATCCATTGGAACCCCAGCGAGATCGTGTAAGTGAATCAAGGTTGAGTCTACAAACGAAGACGACCCCCTCACAGCCTTCATTCGATGCAGGTGGTTCGTGGACGGGACACCAATCCGGGTCTTCCGAAACTACGAAAGCCTCGGCATTCCCTACCCCAGCAAGCAGGCCATGAAGGCGTACTCGAGCATATGGAACGGGGAGGCGTGGGCGACCCGGGGCGGGCGGGTAAAGATCGACTGGGGCAGCGCGCCATTCGTGGCCGGCTACGCTCGTCTCGGCCTGCGGGCCTGCGTGTGGGACGACGCGCAGTGCGTTTCCACGTACCCTGCGAGCACTCTCACTCCAGATCAGAAGACGCAGATGGCAAACATCAGGGGCAGCTACATGATCTATGATTACTGCAAGGATACCAGCAGATTCAATGGAACCATGCCCCCCGAGTGCTCTCAGCCACAAGATTAATGTGCTCTCAGCCACAAGATTAATGTGCTCTCAGCCACATGATCTATGTTTTACTGCATTATTGCTTTATTAAAAATTATTATCGGTGGAATAAATTTCTATTAATATGTTATGGTCTCATAGAATTTATAGGGATTTATGGTGACTTGGCGTACCTGAGATATGGTAGTGTGTCGTGTACGGATGAAGAGCTTGATTCTGGATCTTCGCATACCGCAGCGAACATCATAGCAGTTTCATTTGTCCTTTAAGAAATTACCATATAACACATCAACCAAAAGTTATTATAAAATAATAATAATAATAATCATAATAATACTGCAACAAACATCATGGCAGTTTCATTGGTCTGTTAAGAAGTTATCATATAAGACATCAACGAAAGAACTATTATAAAATGATAATAATAATATAATAATAATAATAATAATAATAATAATAATAATAATAATAATCGTATATAAGAAAAGAAGAACTACCCTACGCACGAAATTTTGGGACAACAGAAACGAAACCTAATACATGAATCACAGATTAGAAATAGCAAGAAAGGGTTGATCACATCAGTTTTGGAGCTCCAATCATGGAGTATGATATTGAGCCCCAGACATGGCTCTGTTTGGTGCTAGTTGAGATGACGACCGCTGCCTCCCGCGTATATCAATAAAAAGAACATACACGAACTAGAAACGGAATCTTATGCGCAAATTATGGATGATAAATGTCAATAGAGAGTTGATTCGAGCTCCAGGCATCGATCTTGAGACGAGGACCTCTACCTCCCGAAAGAGTTCTGTTACGGTAAGTAACTTTTTTAGCCGTGACCTCGGGGTCGACGCGGCTGGTTCGGGGCTCCGAATGGCTGGGATCAGACGTGGCTTCCCTTGGGATCTCGTGGGGGCCGCTGCAGGGGGTCTGGCTGGAAAGTTCCGTGACGCCGAGTAGGGCCAGCTTCGGTCGAGTACCTGCACACAGGTCGGGACAGCAGCTCGGCCCGACCCCTCCGACGATCAAGTCAGTGATTCAGAGTAAAGTTTTGTGGGTTAGATTGTTCCCCCCCTGGCC